CTCACCCACCTACTAGCTCACCTACTCACCCACCTACTAGCTCACCTACTAACCCACCTACTAGCTCACCTACTCACCCGCCTACTCACCCACCTACTAGCTCACCTACTCACCCACCTACTAGCTCACCTACTAACCCACCTACTAGCTCACCTACTCACCCACCTACTAGCTCACCTACTAACCCACCTACTAGCTCACCTACTCACCCGCCTACTCACCCACCTACTAGCTCACCTACTCACCCACCTACTAGCTCACCTACTCACCCACCTACTAGCTCACCTACTAACCCACCTACTAGCTCACCTACTCACCCACCTACTAGCTCACCTACTCACCCGCCTACTAGCTCACCTACTCACCCACCTACTAGCTCACCTACTCACCCACCTACTAGCTCACCTACTAACCCACCTACTAGCTCACCTACTCACCCGCCTACTCACCCACCTACTAGCTCACCTACTCACCCACCTACTAGCTCACCTACTCACCCACCTACTAGCTCACCTACTAACCCACCTACTAGCTCACCTACTCACCCGCCTACTCACCCACCTACTAGCTCACCTACTCACCCACCTACTAGCTCACCTACTCACCCACCTACTAGCTCACCTACTAACCCACCTACTAGCTCACCTACTCACCCGCCTACTCACCCACCTACTAGCTCACCTACTCACCCACCTACTAGCTCACCTACTCACCCACCTACTAGCTCACCTACTAACCCACCTACTAGCTCACCTACTCACCCGCCTACTCACCCACCTACTAGCTCACCTACTCACCCACCTACTAGCTCACCTACTCACCCACCTACTAGCTCACCTACTAACCCACCTACTAGCTCACCTACTCACCCACCTACTAGCTCACCTACTCACCCGCCTACTAGCTCACCTACTCACCCACCTACTAGCTCACCTACTCACCCACCTACTAGCTCACCTACTAACCCACCTACTAGCTCACCTACTCACCCGCCTACTCACCCACCTACTAGCTCACCTACTCACCCACCTACTAGCTCACCTACTCACCCACCTACTAGCTCACCTACTAACCCACCTACTAGCTCACCTACTCACCCGCCTACTCACCCACCTACTAGCTCACCTACTCACCCATCTACTAGCTCGCCTACTCACCCGCCTACTCACCCGCCTACTCACCCACCTACTAGCTCACCTACTCACCCACCTACTAGCTCACATACTCACCCGCCTACTCACCCGCCTACTCACCCGCCTACTAGCTCACCTACTCACCCACCTACTAGCTCACCTACTAACCCACCTACTAGCTCACCTACTCACCCACCTACTAGCTCACATACTCACCCGCCTACTCACCCGCCTACTCACCCGCCTACTCACCCACCTACTCACCCACCTACTCACCCGCCTACTAGCTCACCTACTAGCTGACCTACTCACCCACCTACTCACCCGCCTACTAGCTCACCTACTCGCCTACTCACCCAGCCACTCGCTCAGCTCACCTCGCTCTTACTCACCCATTCACCCAGCCACTCGCTCACCCAGCCACTCGCTCACCCCGCCACTCGCTGGCTTCATCACTCACCTACCCAGTCATCCACTGCTCACCCAATCACCAACTCACTATTGCGCATGGTGTGTCTCCGTGCCTTGTTTATCACTGTGTCTCCCCCCGTGTCTCCCCCCGTGTCTCGCCCCGTGTCTCCCCACGTGTCTCTCCCCGTGTCCCCCCCCCGTGTCTCCCCACGTGTCTCCCCCGTGTCTCGCCCCGTGTCTCCCCCCAAGGTGGAGAGCCGGGTGGAATTGCTGACTCAGCAGCTGCAGCTGTTGGGCGTGAGTCTCAAGGAGACAGAAGAGGAGAAGAGACGCGCGGACACGGAGACAACACAGGTTGGGGGGGAGACACGGGGGGAGACGTGGGGGGAGACACGGGGGGAGACATGGGGGAGACACGGGGGGAGACACGGGGGGAGACACGGGGGGAGAAGTGGGGGAGACACGGGGGGAGACACGGGGGGAGACGCGGGGAGAGACACGGGGGGAGACACGGGGGGAGACGCGGGGAGAGACACGGGGGGAGACACGGGGGGAGACACGGGGGGAGACACGGGGGGAGACACGGAGAGACACGGGGGGAGACACGGGGGGAGACACGGGGAGAGACACGGGGGGAGACACGGGGGGAGACACGGGGGGAGACGTGGGGGAGACACGGGGGGAGACGCGGGGAGAGACACGGGGGGAGACACGGGGGGAGACGCGGGGAGAGACACGGGGGGAGACACGGGGGGAGACACGGGTTGGCCCCTTCACTCGGTGTTCCTCCAACCCCCCCAACCCCCCGTCCCCCCCGGCCCCACAGCTGAAGGAGGTGTGCAGGAGGGAGTTGAGCAGCGTGGAGCGAGTGACCATCGCCAACCACGACGCCATCGCCACCCACAAGCAGGTGACTCCTAGAGCCTAGAGCCTGGGTTCGAGCTCTGGGTCTGGGTGTCTCTCTGTAGGATCACAATGGCCGTGTCAGAGACACTGAGAGCCTCGGTTCAAGCCCTGAGTCTGGGTGTCTCTCTCTCTCTGTGGGTTCATAATGGCCGTGTCGGAGACACTGAGAGTCTGGGTTCGAGCCCTGGGTCTGGGTGTGTCTCTCTCTCAGTGGGTTCACAATGGCCGTGTCAGAGACACTGAGAGCCTGGGTTCAAGCCCTGGTGTCTCTCTCTGTAGGATCACGATGGCTGTGTCGGAGACACCGAGAGCCTGGGTTCAAGCCCTGGGTCTGGGTGTCTCTCTCCCAGGGGGTTTATAATGGCCACTGGGAGATTTCAGCTGCCTGTGGTTAAATTTGGTTCTCAGATGGTCGCCAGGGACTCGCACTGAGACCCACGGACTTCCATCAAGATCACATTGATCTTCATCCATCAGTGGATAGACCATGGTGTTGGTGGTGGTGATGATGATGATGATGGTGGTTGTGATGATGATGATGGTGGTGGTGGTGGTGGTGATGATGATGATGATGGTGGTGGTGGTGGTGATGATGATGGTGGTGGTGGTGGTGGTGATGATGATGGTGGTGGTGGTGATGATGATGATGGTGGTGGTGGTGGTGATGATGGTGATGGTGGTGATGGTGATGATGGTGATGATGGTGATGATGATGGTGATGATGACGGTGATGATGATGATGGTGCTGATGGTGTCCACAGATGAGCTCCAGACTGAGCGCTCAGCTGGAGGAGCTCTCTGAAGTCGGACGGAGGACCATGGACCTCGTGCGGGTGAGTGGTCATCACGGCCCTGCCCTCTCCCTATTCCTCCACAGCGCCAAGCGGCCAGCAACAATGAGCACTGTGCTGAGAGCGTTAGAGGGCCGTGCGCTGCTGTGGTGGTTGCGGTTGTGTGGGGAGTGGTGGCGCAGCGGTTAGCGCGCTACGGACCTGGCTACGACCCGAGTTCGATTCCCGCTCACGGCCAACACCGGCGACGATTTTCTGAACCGGTCGCGGGCCTCCCCCTAGGTCGACTCGGCCTCAAATGAGTAACCCGGTGCGGTGTGCAGTGAACATCGCCAGCACTGGGGAGACAAAGGCGGCCGGGCGTGGTGCTGGCCACCCACCCCCTCGTGTGCCACAGTGCCGGCAGCCTTCACAGCTGCTGCTACTCGCTAGCAGCACTTGCCCCTACAGTCTGTCACAGGCTACACGGGGGAGCTTTGTCTTTGTGTGTTGACTCAATGCGGGGGTCGCGCTGTGGGAGACAGAGGGGCGGGAGCCACGTGCGAGATGAGAACAACCACAACCACAACAACAACCACCACAACAACCACAACCAGGACCACCACCACCACAACCAGGACCACAACAACCACCACCACCACCACCACACAACCAGGACCACAACAACCACCACCACCACAACCACAACCACCACCACAACCACCACCACAACCACCACCATCCCCACCACCAGCACCACCACCACAACCACCACCACCACAACCACCACCACCAGCACCACCAGCACCACAACCACCACCACCACCCCCACCACCCCCACCACCTCCACCACCACCAACACCACCAACACCACCCCCACCACCACCACCACAACCATCACCACCACCATCACCACCACCACAACCACCACAACCACCACCACCAGCACCACCAGCACCACAACCACCACCACCACCACCCCCACCACCCCCACCACCTCCACCACCACCAACACCACCAACACCACCCCCACCACCACCACCACAACCATCACCACCACCAACACCATCACCACCAACACAACCATCATCACCACCAACACCACCACCAACACCACCACCACCGAGAAGGAGACGGAGCGACGGAATCCACCGCTCCGTGAAGTTCGTTTGCGACTCTGACCCCCCCTCGCCCCCCCCCTCGCCCCCTCACCCCCCCCCCCGTGTATCCAGAGTCGGTCCCAGGCGTGTGGGCGTTGTCCAGCCCTGCTCAGTGACCTACTGAAGCAGCAGCGGCAGCGGCGGCGGCATTCTGTGTCCCAGACCTCGTCCACTTCCCACCCAGTTGAAATCCCCGACGAGGCTCTGGAGGAGGTGGAGCAGGTGGAGGAGGTGGAGCAGGTGGAGCAGGTGGAGGAGGTGGAGCAGGTGGAGCAGGTGGAGCGAGGCTCCTCGAGTGAGCCACAGGAAGATGAAGACGTCGCGCTCCAACCCCGCAGCGACGAGGTGGTGGAGGTGGTGGAGGTGGTGGAGGTGGTGGTGGAGGTTGACTGCTCGGTGGAGCCGCTGGGAAAGAGCATCTCGGCTGGATCCCTGAACAAGGAGGAGGTGGACGAGGTGGTAGTGGGCGAGCTGGTGGTGGACAAGGTGGTGGTGGACAAGGTGGTGGTGGATGAGGTGGTGGTGGACGAGCTGGTGGTGGACGAGCTGGTGGTGGACGAGAAGGAGGTGGACGAGGTGGTGGTGGACAAGGAGGAGGTGGACGAGCTGGTGGTGGATGAGGAGGAGGTGGACGAGGAGGAGATGGACAAGGAGGAGGTGGACGAGGTGGTGGTGGACGAGGAGGAGGTGGACGGAGACGCGTTGAGGAGCAGGCTCGAGGCCGTGCAGCGGGAGTTGGTTGCCTCCAAGCTGAAGCTCGTGCAGGCCGAGTGCACGATCCAGGCGAGTGGTCAGGCTTGGGGGGGGCGGCACCAGGCCTCGGCCGTGACCGTCTGCCCGCTGCGGCTTCGGGGCGGCCGGCGCTGGCAGAGAAGCTCCCTTGGGTTCGACTCCCGGACTGAGTGCTGCCTCTCTCTCTCTCTCTTCGTGTGTGTGGAGTTTGTGTGATCTCTACTCCTCTTCTACAGAGTGTGTGGAGTTTGTGTGATCTCTACTCCTGGTCTACAGAGTGGGTGGAGTTTGTGTGATCTCTACTCCTGGTCTACAGAGTGGGTGGAGTTTGTGTGATCTCTACTCCTGGTCTACAGAGTGTGTGGAGTTTGTGGGATCTCTACTCCTGTTCTACAGAGTGTGTGGAGTTTGTGTGATCTCTACTCCTGGTCTACAGAGTGTGTGGAGTTTGTGTGATCTCTACTCCTGGTCTACAGAGTGTGTGGAGTTTGTGTGATCTCTACTCCTCTTCTACAGAGTGTGTGGAGTTTGTGTGATCTCTACTCCTGGTCTACAGAGTGGGTGGAGTTTGTGTGATCTCTACTCCTCTTCTACAGAGTGTGTGGAGTTTGTGTGATCTCTACCCCTGGTCTACAGAGTGTGTGGAGTTTGTGTGATCTCTACTCCTGGTCTACAGAGTGGGTGGAGTTTGTGTGATCTCTACTCCTGGTCTACAGAGTGTGTGGAGTTTGTGTGATCTCTACTCCTGGTCTACAGAGTGGGTGGAGTTTGTGTGATCTCTACTCCTCTTCTACAGAGTGTGTGGAGTTTGTGTGATCTCTACCCCTGGTCTACAGAGTGTGTGGAGTTTGTGTGATCTCTACTCCTGGTCTACAGAGTGGGTGGAGTTTGTGTGATCTCTACTCCTGGTCTACAGAGTGTGTGGAGTTTGTGTGATCTCTACTCCTGGTCTACAGAGTGAGTGAGTGGAGTTTGTGTGATCTCTACTCCTGTTCTACATAGTGAGTGAGTGAGTGGAGTTTGTGTGATCTCTACTCCTGGTCTACAGAGTGAGTGGAGTTTGTGTGTTCTACCCCTGTTCTACAGAGTGAGTAAGTGGAGTTTGTGTGATCTCCCCCTGTTCTACAGAGTGAGTGAGTGGAGTTTGTGTGATCTCCCCCTGTTCTACAGAGTGAGTGAGTGGAATTTGTGTGATCTCCCCCTGTTCTACAGAGTGAGTGAGTGGAGTTTGTGTGATCTCTACTCCTGTTCTACATAGTGAGTGAGTGAGTGGAGTTTGTGTGATCTCTACTCCTGGTCTACAGAGTGAGTGGAGTTTGTGTGTTCTACCCCTGTTCTACAGAGTGAGAGTGAGTGGAGTTTGTGTGATCTACCCCTGTTCTACAGAGCGAGTGAGTGGAGTTTGTATGTTCTACACCTGTTCTACAGAGTGAGTGAGTGAAGTTTGTGTGATCTCCCCCTGTTCTACAGAGTGAGTGAGTGGAATTTGTGTGATCTCCCCCTGTTCTACAGAGTGAGTGAGTGGAGTTTGTGTGATCTCCCCCTGTTCTACAGAGTAAGTGAGTGGCGTTTGTGCGATCTCTACTCCTGGTCTACAGAGTGAGTGAGTGGAGTTTGTATGATCTCCCCCTGTTCTACAGAGTGAGAGTGAGTGGAGTGTGTGTGTCCTACCCCTGTTCTACAGAGTGAGTGAGTGGAGTTTGTGTGATCTCCCCCTGTTCTACAGAGTGAGTGAGTGGAGTTTGTGTGTTCTACTCCTGTTCTACAGAGTGAGTGAGTGGAGTTTGTGTGATCTCCCCCTGTTCTACAGAGTGAATGAGTGGAATTTGTGTGATCTCCCCCTGTTCTACAGAGTGAGTGAGTGGAGTTTGTGTGATCTCCCCCTGTTCTACAGAGTAAGTGAGTGGAGTTTGTGTGATCTCCCCCTGTTCTACAGTGAGTGAGTGGAGTTTGTGTGATCTACCCCTGTTCTACAGAGTGGAGTTTGTGTGATCTCCCCCTGTTCTAGAGTGAGTGAGTGGTGAGTGAGTGAGTGGTGTGTGAATGAGTGAGTGGTGTGTGTGTGTTCTCCCCTCTGTTCCACAGTGAGTGTGAGCGAGTGTGACGGTGAGTTTGTGTGATTGTGTGGGGAGCGGAAATGTAGTTGTTAGCGCTGCACTACGAACCTGGCGACCCGGGTTCGATTCCCGCTCACGGCCAACACCAGTGACGATTATGTGAACTGGTCTTGGGTCTCTCCTAGGTCGACTTAGCCTCAAATTAGCACCTGGTGCGGTGTGTAAACATCGCCACTGGGGAGACAAAGGCGGTCGGGCGTGGTGCTGGCCACCCACCCCCTCTTGTACCGTTCTGGCCTTCATAGGTGCTGCTCGCTAACAGCACTTGCCCCTACAGTCTGTTAAGGCTACACGGGGGATCTTTGTCTTTGTTCTGTCCCCCTGCTCTGCATGGGTTTCTTCCCAGGTACTTCGTTTCCACTCCCATAGCCAAACCCACACCCACAGTGGAACTGTTATCACCACCCCACCCCCACTGCTCAATAATGGTCTCCCCCCGTGTCTCCCCCCCCCCGTGTCTCTCCCCGTGTCTCTCCCCGTGTCTCCCCCCGTGTCTCCCCCCGTGTCTCTCCCCGTGTCTCCCCCGTGTCTCTCCCCGTGCGTCTCCGTGTCTCCAGGACCTGCAGCATCGCCTCTCCGTCACCCGTAACGAGCTGGGCGCCAAACGCATCTCACGCTTTTTCACTCGACCTCAAAGCTCCACCACCTAGCGCTGAACACCCCCCCCCGCCCCAACACCCGCGATGGTACAGTCCCAATAGGTCGGCGTACATTGTGGGTCGTGCCAAGTGTGGGCTGTGCCAAGTGTGGGCTCCATTGAGGGGGATTTTTAACTTAATTCAGTTTAACTTCCAGGATTTTGTGTAAATTATTATACCCCCCCCCCCCCAGTCGCATATATTTTAATGGTATCGTCTCATTAGCTCGAGTTGCTGGGTGGGATGTACTAACTTTATGAATGAATATTCTGGGGGGGCGGGGGGGGTAGAGGCAATGATTTTATATCCCTCCCACAAGAGCTTAAATCCACTTTGGGCAATAGTAAGCTGGTTGTTTTTTTTCTTTGAGAGGGAGTTTTGTTTAAAAAGTCTTGAGTACCCCCCCATAATGCTCCAGTAATGGTAGAGTCCTACTCGGTAAACCTATGCACGGACCATACCAATGTTCAATACTTAGCAACGAAGGGATGGGGGGGGGGTTACCCTGCATTAGTTAAAATATTTTAGCTATTTAACTCCAATAATGATGCAGTCTTCTTGTGCAAGTAGCCAAACGTCTGTTTACTTAAAATGTTTTCCCCTTGTTAGCCGAATCGCGGCGTCCGTCGTTACGATTCTGAAACTAATTCTAAATATCGCGAGCGAAGCTACTTTTTACGGGCACCGCCAGGGCCAATCAGGAGCCGGCATTTTAGTCACGCGGTGCCCTCTGAGCCAATGCGACGCCGCCTATTAGAACGAGACCACAGAACTGCAATTTACTTGAGATTGTTATAATAATGTTGATTAATTATGATCATTGTTTTGTCGGTTAACTGAGGCGTATCGATGTGTATGTATTTTTGCTGTTGTTGCCGATGCACGAATGTTAATTTAAACTTGTGTGTGTCCTTGCATTAAACCGCTGCTGAGGAAGTATCTCTTTGAGATTTCAGGGCGAAAGCGCAGCCCCTGCAAGTTCCTTGCCAATTCCAATGCTGGTGGAAGTGACCTCCCTCGATAGACGACCGAGAGAGAGACACGCGCACACACACGCACGCACACACGCACGCCATCCGGATTTGACCTCCTCTTCCACCACACTAGCCAGCGATTTGCGTCTTATGTGGACCCCACCACGTGGACCCCACCACGTGGTGGGGTCCACGTGGCACCCACCACGTGGCCCCACCACGTGGCACCCACCACGTGGACCCCACCACGTGGCCCCACCACGTGGCACCCATCACGTGGTGGGGTCCACGTGGCACCCACCACGTGGACCCCATCACGTGGCCCCACCACGTGGCACCCATCACGTGGTGGGGTCCACGTGGCACCCACCACGTGGACCCCATCACGTGGCATCCACCACGTGGACCCCACCAAAGCTCCCCCGTGTAACCTGCGACACTGTTGGGGCCAAGTGCCGTCACTAGCGAGCAGCACCTACGAAGGCCGGCACGGCACGCGGAGGGGGTGGGTAGCCAGTACCACGCCCGGCCGCCTTTGTCTCCCCGGTGGCGGTGTTCACTACACACCGCACCAGGTACTCACTTGAGTCGACCTAGGGAAGGCATAGGACCGGTTCGGACAATCAACGCCGGTGTTGGCCGTGAGCGGGAATCGAACTCGGGACGCCGGGTTCGTAGCGCAGTGCACTGACCGCTGCTACACCACCGCTCTCCAGACACGAGCAGAAATTCCACGTTCCTATGGTGGGGGTCCCAGGCTGTCCTGCAGCTTTGTCCCAATTGGCCGCCTCTCTCTCTGGAGTGAGGGAGCGAAAGAGTGAGGAGTGAGTGTGAGTGAGAGAGTGTGAGTTCCACAGAGGTGGGGTGAGGGTGACGGTGAGTGAGGGTGACGGTGAGTGAGGGTGACGGTGAGTGAGGGTGACGGTGAGTGAGGGTGATAGTGAGGGTGACTGAGTGTGAGTGAGGGTTCTACCCCTGTTCCACAGAGGTGAGGTGACGGTGAGTGAGGGTGACAGTGAGTGTAACAGTGAGTGACTGAGTGAGTGTAACAGTGAGTGTAACAGTGAGAGTGAGTGTAGTGTAACAGTGAGTGACAGTGAGTGAGTGTAACAGAGAGTGGGAGTGAGTGTAGTGTAACAGTGAGTGTAGTGTAACAGTGAGTGAGAGTGAGTGAGTGTAGTGTAACAGTGAGTGAGAGTGAGTGAGTGTAGTGTAACAGTGAGTGAGTGTAGTGTAACAGTGAGTGAGTGTAGTGTAACAGTGAGTGAGTGTAGTGTAAAAGTGAGTGAGAGTGAGTGAGTGTAATGTAACAGTGAGTGAGAGTGAGTGAGTGTAATGTAACAGTGAGTGAGAGTGAGTGAGTGTAGTGTAACAGTGAGTGAGAGTGAGTGTAGTGTAACAGTGAGTGTAGTGTAACAGTGAGTGAGAGTGAGTGTAACAGTGAGTGACAGTGAGTGTAACAGTGAGTGACAGTGAGTGAGTGTAACAGTGAGTGACAGTGAGTGTAGTGTAACAGTGAGTGTAACAGTGAGTGAGTGTAGTGTAACAGTGAGTGTAACAGTGAGTGAGTGTAGTGTAACAGTGAGTGAGAGTGAGTGTAACAGTGAGTGACAGTGAGTGTAACAGTGAGTGACAGTGAGTGAGTGTAACAGTGAGTGACAGTGAGTGTAGTGTAACAGTGAGTGTAACAGTGAGTGAGAGTGAGTGTAGTGTAACAGTGAGTAGTGTAACAGTGAGTGAGTAACAGTGAGTGACAGTGAGTGTAGTGTAACAGTGAGTGTAACAGTGAGTGAGAGTGAGTGAGTGTAGTGTAACAGTGAGTGTAGTGTAACAGTGAGTGAGAGTGAGTGAGTGTAGTGTAACAGTGAGTGAGTGTAACAGTGAGTGAGAGTGAGTGTAGTGTAACAGTGAGTGAGTGTAACAGTGAGTGACAGTGAATGTAGTGTAACAGTGAGTGACAGTGAGTGAGTGTAACAGTGAGTGACAGTGAGTGTAGTGTAACAGTGAGTTTAACAGTGAGTGAGAGTGAGTGTAGTGTAACAGTGAGTGTAGTGTAACAGTGAGTGAGAGTGAGTGTAGTGTAACAGTGAGTGAGAGTGAGTGAGTGTAGTGTAACAGTGAGTGACAGTAAGTGAGTGTAACAGAGAGTGAGTGTAGTGTAACAGTGAGTGAGAGTGAGTGTAGTGTAACAGTGAGTGAGAGTGAGTGTAGTGTAACAGTGAGTGAGAGTGAGTGAGTGTAGTGTAACAGTGAGTGAGAGTGAGTGGGTGTAGTGTAACAGTGAGTGACAGTAAGTGAGTGTAGTGTAACAGTGAGTGACAGTGAGTGAGTGTAGTGTAACAGTGAGTGAGAGTGAGTGAGTGTAGTGTAACAGTGAGTGACAGTGAGTGGGTGTAGTGTAACAGTGAGTGACAGTAAGTGAGTGTAACAGAGAGTGAGTGTAGTGTAACAGTGAGTGACAGTGAGTGAGTGTAGTGTAACAGTGAGTGAGAGTGAGTGTAGTGTAACAGTGAGTGAGAGTGAGTGTAGTGTAACAGTGAGTGAGAGTGAGTGTAGTGTAACAGTGAGTGACAGTGAGTGACGTTTCTCCCCCTGCTCTGCATGAGACTACAGACAGCAGCAGCATCGCCACCCCTACTGGTAGAGCAACACACAGGGACAGCTGCCACTGGGGGTACCCCTAGACTACAGACACCAGCAGCATCGCCACCCCTACTGGTAGAGCAACACACACGGACAGCTGCCACTGGGGGTGCCCCTAGACTACAGACAGCAGCATCATCGCCACCCCTACTGGGAGAGCAACACGCAGGGACAGTTGCCACTGGGGGTGCCCCTAGACTACAGACAGCAGCATCATCGCCACCCCTACTGGGAGAGCAACACGCAGGGACAGCTGCCACTGGGGGTGCCCCTAGGCTACAGACCCGCCGGCCGTGGCCAAAGCCCCACCCTAAATTGGTTGAGAAGCACTCTATGACACACTTCAGCACTCAGGCATTTACTAATGATGTGCTTCACTCGGAAATTGACAAGATCTGTGATATCCCCAACCTAACTACGGCTTGGGAGACCTTAAGTCACACGTTTCTCCAAATTCTTAACAAACATGCTCCGTTGGTTTGATTTAAAACTAAAGGCAACCACCCACCATGGTTTGATCCTTTGATTACAAAGCTCATGAGAACTAGGGACAAGGCTTGGGCATGTGCTCAGAAAAGTAATTTGGTCAATGACTGGCTAGAATACAGGATTTTAAGGAATAGATGCGTAAAAAAAATACGGCATGCAAAAAATGCCTACTTTTCCTCCACTCTCCTGGAATCACATGGAAATGCCAGGATTTTCTGGAAAACAATCAAATGTATCGAAAAGGCATCCAAAACAGGCAATCTGCCCGTTGAGCTTAACCGAAATGGGGAATATTTTTCAGATCCCCCAAAAATAGGTGACAATTTTAACTTTCAGTTTTCTGAAGCTGGTAATCTTTTTGATAATGTATTGGGAGTCACCCCTGCTCATGCAAATTCCTACACCCATGTCCAAACATTAAACGAATTTAGTTTCCAGCCAATCCACGAAAGTAATGTTCTGAAACAACTGTCCTACCTCAAAGGGTCCTCCTCTACCGGAGCAGATAGTATTTCCGTCTTTGCTCTACTAACTGTTGGTCACCTAATATACAAACCTATAGCCCATATTTTCAAACTGTCCATCAAAGAAGCATCAGTTCCTCTAGAATGGAAACATTCCTATGTCTGTCCACTTCACAAAGGGGGCCCTAAAGATGATCCAAATAACTACCGATCTATCTCAATTTTGTCCCCGTTGATGAAATTTTTTGAAAAATTGACCTACCAAATTAGCAGTTTCCTGTCCACCAACAATCTATTACATCTAAAACAATCTGGGTTCCGAAAAAAATACCGCACCACATCTGCTGCATTAGACTCTCTGAATCACATTTACAGTAGCCTTGATAATAAACAGTACTGTGCCTGTCTTTTTCTAGACCTGTCCAAAGCTTTTGATACAGTAGATCACAACACCCTGCTTAGTAAACTAAGTTGCCTCGGTTTTTCCGAAAACGCACGTAAAAGGGTTACAAAATTACCTCTTTTCTCGCACCCAAAATGTATTCACAGATGGTTGGAGGTCAAACAGTGTTAAGATAACAAAAGGGATTCCACAGGGTTCCATCCTTCGCCTCCTTTTGTTCTCTCTTTATGTCAATGACTTGGGCACTGACCTGGATCATTCCAGGGTAAATCGTTTTGCAGATGACACGATACTGATTACTGCTGGCCGCTCTCCGGATGACGTGATTGCTAAGCTACAAGGTGATTTCAACAAACTACAACATCAGCTAGTTGCTCTTAAACTAGTCCTGAATACCTCCAAAACCAAGGTGCTATGCTTCTCACCAGGATTAAAGCAGGAAGTTATTTTTCCCCAATTACATTCCTTAAATAATGATCAAATAGAGCAAGTCAAGATCTATAAGTGTCTTGGGGTCATCCTGGATTAAAAACTGAATTTTGAAGATCACATTGATTATATTGGTAAAAAGACAAAATAAAAAAAATGGTTTTCTGTATCGACCATACTGCCTCTACTTGACTACTGTGACATCGTGTATAAATCAGCCCCAAGTACTGTACTGAAGAAGCTTGATTCCATCTATCACTCGGCCTAAAGACTCACCACTGTGATCTCTACATTGGGTCAAACGTAACATGTTCGACGGCTTGCACACCAGATCTTATTGATTCACGATGTACTTACAAAAAAATCCGCAGACTACCTGCTGGATCTCCTCTCTGTTTCAAAGAACAAATTTGACCTCAAGGTCTTCGCTCATTTACCAGCTTCACATTCCCTATTGCCGTACAAAAACTGGAGGAAGGGCCTTTGCTATTGATGCCCCCAGGGTCTGGAATGCTATTGCCAATAAACTGGAAATTGAATCGCTACCTATGAGATCTTCTCTCAAAATTGCTCTAGAGGAGTTGTACACCGCTAGCTGCCACTGCTATTCATTTGCGTAAAATAAAATAAAATGTTTTGCTCCGGATGACGCTGCAAAGTATTATCTGTATTTTAATTTAGCGTGCTGACCTTAAAGGTGCATTGAAAAATGTGATACACCGACTGATGCTTCTGTTGTTGTGGAGTGACTCATGCAGCCAGCTATGGCTCTAGGATTTGGTGTTACATGTTTTTTATGTAGTTCATTGTAAAAATTCGGTCACAGTCCCTATGATCACTGTTACGTTGCAATTATGGCTTTATATTTTGGTGATTTCTAAAAGTTTTTTGGTTTGGACATGTTTGTTTTGTTGTAGTACAGAGTTAGACTGATGGCCTTAATCTAAGTTTTCTTGTGGTTGTTGTTGTTGTTTGACTTCCATCCCACTGGGATTTTTTGCACACAGCGTTGGTGCTGTACGGTGCTTTTTTTCAGGAATATTTTGCTGTTTTTTTCATGGATTTTATGTTTGCACGGTCACACCAAGTCACTTTAAGATGTTTTCTTGTTCGTGTTTTTGTTTGTTGTGGTTGCACCCGATTCAAGAGCCGAATGGCTCACAGGGCTATACCAAAATAAAGAAACTGAAACTGAAAAGTGATTGTGATTAACGTCGACAGCACACGATTTATATTCTCTGTTGGGGTTCCCTGAGTAGTGGGAGGGGCTACACGAGTAGGGGGTGGGGGTACTTGTGTAGTGGGAGAGGCTACTTGTGTGGTGGGAGGGGCTACTGAGCGGTGGTTGGTGCTACCTGAGCGGTGAGAGAGGCTACCTGAGTAGTGGGTGGGGCTAACTTAGTGGTGGGAGGGGCTACACGAGTAGTGGGTGGGGCTACCTAGTGGTGGGAGGGGGTACCTGGATAGTGGAAGGGGCGACTTGAGCGGTGGGAGGGACTACCTGAATAATGGGTGGAGCTACGGGGAGGTGGGAGGGACTACCTGAGTGGTGGGAGGGGCTATCTGAGTTGTGGGAGGGCTACCTAAGGAGTGAGAGGGGCTCCTGAATGGTGGGAGGGGCTACCAGAGTAGTGGGAGGTGCTACCTGAGCAGTGAGAAGGGCTCCCCGAGTAGTGGGTGGGGCTACGGGGTGGTGGGAGGGGCTACCAGAGTAGTGGGAGGTGCTACCTGAGCAGTGAGAAGGGCTCCCCGAGTAGTGGGTGGGGCTACGGGGTGGGAGGAGGGGCTACCGGAGTAGTGGGAGGGGCTACTGGATAGTGGGCCCGTATATAATGTCCACATTCTCATGGTTTTGGCTGTGTAAGCAATATGACGGCCACTGTTTATCTTCATCAGCAGCCACGCTCTATCCACTGCTCCATGGATGGTCTCCATCCCCTGGCTACCAGCCGAAGTTCTTCGTTGGAGGAGGTCACCCTGGGTCTGTTCCATCGCTTCGCTCCGTCTCCGCGATTCGCCTCGGCCACCGAAACGTCGTAGCTGAAGGCCGTGACACGCGCCCTGTCATTCGATTTAAAAACAAATCCTGTGTGATAATAAATAAGAATATTCTTGATCGTATTTGGCTCGGAAAGCCAATTAGGTCGAGGGACTAAAGCAATACCCTTGTAACTATTAATGGAATGTATTCGATGTGTTAAAACAAAACTTACTGCATTAAAAATAAAGTTAATGTGCCTTCTTCTTTGGTTCTTTCGGTAAAGTCACGTAGAATGAAAATAAAATAATAAATTGATAAAATAAAATAACAATAATATTCTCACGACGTTTCGGCCACAACACAAGCGGCCTTCATCAGGTGAAGGGACGAGACTGTCTGGTAGGACAGCGCTGTGAGAATATTGTGTTATTTTATTTTATCAATTTATTATTTTATTCTCATTCTACGTGACTTTACCGAAAGAACCAAAGAAGATGAATCCTTGCAGTCATGAAAGCTTTAAATCGAAATTTAATGTGCCTTGTGTGTTTGTGTGAATTTTGCATCCTGCAGAAGCAGATTGGATCGGAATAACGAAACGCGGACTTTGATCGCAGCGGCCACCGTAGTCGGCCAAGATGCCTCATTGCGAAGAATTTAGATATTTTAGACAAAATTAATTCCAACGCAATTTTGTGAGCTTCACTTTAAAGAAAACAACTGTAATAGGGTGGACAAATTGCGATTTAATTGCTTTAATAAAAAAAATACATTTTTCAAGTAGATTTAACGGAAGTTGGCACGCGCGTGGCCCCCCACTTCCGACTGAAAAAGGAAAGTTTATATATTTTTTCCGAGATTGAAACTTTTTTTTAATTTTCTCAACATTTTAACAGTGTCGAATATTTTAACAGTCCGAATAATATCAATTTAGCACCATAGAAAGCGTTTAAAAAAAATGGTTAACAATTTGAAAAAAGTCCCGCCTCATATCGCCGACATAATCATAACTATAATTTAAAAAAATACAAGTTTCACATCCACCACGGCTACACCATACAAGCAGTGTTTTTGAAAACTCCTTCGAGGCGAGGTGTAAGACATCGTCAAGTTGGTTATTAAATAACAAGTTGGCGCCACTCGACCGGTTCGCGCGTGTATCACTCCACCCGCTCGCAATGCGGCCACGGTAGGTAAGCAAAGCCTCGCGAGAAAAACAAAATCGTCATTCTGAGGCGTTAATAAACATTTTAAAAATGTAAAAAAAACACGCCCGCATGCGGGGTACTTTACAACAAAACAATTAAGTCGTTTAGCGGTGTTTTTTTGTTTGTTGTTGGAACGTATCGCCTCAAATTCCACGTCTTGGAAGGGGAATTCCGCCCTCAGGCGCAGTGTGTGGAGGGGAGGAGCGGTGGCGCCGCGGTTAGCGCGCTGCCACCGCTCCACCGTCAACCGCGCGCCTGAGTTCGATTCGCGCTCACGGCCGCCAGCAGCGACCGTCTGGAACGGTGCTCGAGGTGTGGAACAACAACGACAACAACAACAACAGTACTCGACATTGGGTAGACAAAGGCGGCCGTGCGTGGTTGCTGGCCCGTCCGCCTCGTGTAACCGTTCCGGCCTTCACAGGTGCGAGCGCTGTGAGCGAAAGACCCAAAGAATGTGAATTACTGCAGTCACGCAAAACTTTTAAAGTCAAGATCGTAAGCCACTTCGCTGAGCTGTCATTTGATGGCCAGGTCGCTTCGGGATCAGATTTAGATTACTCGGCGCCGATGTTATCTTGTGGTTGTTGTGGTTGTTTGACTTGCATCGCACACAGCGTTGGTGGTGTACGGTGCTTATCTCAGGAATATTTTGCTGTTTTTTTCCCCCTGGATTTTCTGTTTGCACAGTCGCACAAAGTCACTTTAAGATGTTTTTCCTGTTCGTGTTTTTGTGTGTTGTTGCGGTCGCACCCGATTCAAGAGCCGAATGGCTCACAGGGCTCTACCAAAAACAGGTCCCTGCAGGGTGGGCTGGTAGGACAAGTCTCTGCGCTGTCTATTGCTGATTTTACACCCCAACAGCACGAGATTTCACTTCGTTAAAGTATTGAAAGGGGACGGACGGACACATCAATCTATTGCAGGCTGGTACACTCGGTTTACAACTTCGCTCCTACCAGTATAAATGAAACTATGAACTGAAACTGAACTGAGAATGTTAGGCATGCCCACAGCGCACATGGCTTCTCAGCAGCGACGAACAGGTTGACCCAAAAGGAGGACACACACAAGGTTATTGTATTTATTTTGACAAATGTTTAACAAACTCGCCTCCATGAACGTGGATGCGCGAGTTCTCTTTTGGAATTTAAGATTACAGCTGCCGGCATTAGCGCGTACTGTGCGTGGGAAAAGGAATGGAACTCAAATTTCTTTCTATTTTTTAAATGTCATCTGACAAGGAAGAACAATACATATTAATAATGATAGCAGACACAATATGAATGTAAAGAATACATAATTAAGATGGTTTAATGCCAGTTTCAAATGCACTTCTACTTTGGCCTGGCATGGGTAGGGGAAGAAATTTGTGTAGATGTCACAAAGTTCAGTGACCTGCCAGCGGGCGTTCGACACTCCACTTGGCCTCAAGGTGCACATGTCCTGGCACAAGTGTCGTGGTGACGTCACCGCCACTTAGTGGCGAATGGCGGTTGTTATATGTGTGTGTATGTGTGTATATGTGTGTGTGTGCTCAGGAAGTGCTTTGTTTGAGGCGGCCAGTAGATGCGTTCCTGAAAAGCGTCCAGTTTGGCGAACAACGCGTTGAACGTGACGATGAAGTATGGCGAGATTACGACGTACGACTGCTGCTGCTGCTACGCGCACCACGCAGTGACATGGCGGGACTAATATCACGAGGGTACACCGCCGTTTTACACTTGTAACACTCGGCGTTACTATATCACTGTATTGCTCGGCCGCGCACCTCAAGAAAGTAGCCGTCGGCCACTCAGAAACTGTTTTAACGGCACACGCTTGCTGTGTTATTACGGAGTGTGCTGTCCCACGTTATAACGGAGTGTGCTGTCCCACGTTATAACGGAGTGTGCTGTCCCACGTTATAACGGAGTGTGCTGTCCCACGTTATTACGGAGTGTGCTGTCCCACGTTATAACGGAGTGTGCTGTCCCACGTTATAACGGAGTGTGCTGTCCCACGTTATTACGGAGTGTGCTGTCCCACGTTATTACGGAGTGTGCTGTCCCACGTTATAACGGAGTGTGCTGTCCCACGTTATAACGGAGTGTGCTGTCCCACGTTATAACGGAGTGTGCTGTCCCACGTTATAACGGAGTGTGCTGTCCCACGTTATAACGGAGTGTGCTGTCCCACGTTATTACGGAGTGTGCTGTCCCACGTTATTACGGAGTGTGCTGTCCCACGTTATAACGGAGTGTGCTGTCCCACGTTATAACGGAGTGTGCTGTCCCACGTTATAACGGAGTGCGCGTCCCACGTTATAACGGAGTGCGTGTTCCGCGTTGTGCGAAGAGACACCGTGGCTATGAGATGTTAACTATCTCGCCTGGTATACAGGAGGTGGTGGGTTCGACCCTGACGCCTGCTGCTGTATATTTGGAGATTGCGTGTCTCTCTCTTGGAGTTTGCGTTTCTCTCTCTCTCACCGTGGGCGTGTCGATTTTATCTCCGGCTCCTCCGGAGAAAAATCTTCCACATTTTTAATCAAAGTCACGTGGTTGAAGAGTATACGGCTGCTATAAATCTCCATGTGATTAACCACTTCGTTGAGCTATCATCACCTGTGGCCAGGTCACTTCTGAAACAATACCTCAGTGGGGCCTTACCTGGTAAAATAAAAGAGTAGTTAAGTTTAAATAGTTTATAGTTAAGCGAGGACTTTCCGTACTGTATTATTTGAAAGCCGGTACGATCAATGGGAAATCCTCAATGATTCATTGTAATAAACACCACCGTGCGTTAAACAGAATCTTAAAAAATTTCCCCGCCTCTCCGTCCACTGGCAGCAGTATAAAGATCTTCCACCCCAGAGATTTAGTCGGTCAGCTGCCGGAGTGAGAGCCTTATCTGCCGACACCATCCAGCACGTTGGTGGAAGAGTAGGCCTAAAAATACTCTTACTAATACGAGTGGCTCTCTCGAACCTCGGGTATCTGTAGGTTCTTCTTACACTGAGCAGTAGTGAGAGCAAAGAAACTTCTTGTTTTGGGTTAGCCCCTTCACTTTTGAGTGAGGTTCCTGGATGCGCGTGAAGGATATGGAATCGTCTGTGAGGTAGGGAACTGCGTGTGTGTGTGTGCACGTGAGTGGGACAGCATGCTCAAGGAGTAGTGATAACATTAGCCGCTAAGTGGCGGTAACGTCGCCACAGCGCTTGTGCCAGGCTCTGGGCACGTTACGGCCACGTGAAGTGCCGAACGCTCGCTGGCAGGAGGTCACGGGTCAGACCCAGGTGCCATGGCTCTGACTGAGATGACTGGTCGATGCACCACCTGTGCCACCTACTGCGCCAACTACGCATCTCACGGCGTGATCGCGGACTCTACTTCGCCCCCCCCCGCCACAGCGTATAGTATTTATTGTATCCACAACGCGGCGTTCTCCAGGAACGCAACAACTACCACCGATTGGCGGTGAGGTCACCGTCGCGTTTGTGCCAGGCCATGTGCACTTTTAGACGCGACACGAAGTGTCCCGACGCTCGCTCTCAGGAGGTCGCGCGACGGACCCAGGCGCCGTGGGTTGACCACTTGAGGTGGCTTGGCAGAGATGCACAGACAGCTGTACTCCCCCCCCCCCACCCCCACTGTGCCAGCTCGCTACGTTTTAGCCACCCGGCGCTCGGCTCGTAGAGGAGAGGGCTCCATCGCAGGCACAGCTCAGTACAGTGATTAACAAAACACTCCTCTCTCTCCCCATCCCATCTCACTACCTCCCTATCCAAACTCCCTCCCTGTCCCATCTCTCTCTCCCCCCCTTCTCTATACCCTCCCTGGCTGTCTCTCTCTCCCTGTCTCCCTCCCTGTCTCTCCCTCCCTGTCTCCCGCCCTGTCTGTCTCTCCCTCCCTGTCTCCCTCCCTGTCTCCCTCCCTGTCTGTCTCTCCCTCCCTGTCTCCCTCCCTGTCTCTCTCTCCCTGTCTCCCTCCCTGTCTGTCTCTCCCTCCCTGTCTCCCTCCCTGTCTGTCTCTCCCTCTCTGTCTGTCTCCCTCCCTGTCTGTCTCTCCCTCTCTGTCTACCTCCTTCCCTGTTGAATCTCCCCCTTCTCTATTCCCTCCCTCCCTCTCTGTCTCTCTCTCCCTGTCTCCCTCCCTGTCTGTCTCTCCTTCCCTGTCTGTCTCTCCCTCCCTCCCTGTCTCTCCCTTCTCTATACCCTCCCTCCCTGTCTGTCTCTCCCTCACTGTCTCCCTCCCTCCCTCACTGTCTCCCTCCCTGTCTCTCCCTCCCTCCCTGTCTCTCCCTTCTCTATACCATCCCTCCCTGTCTGTCTCTCCCTCCCTGTCTCCCTCCCTCACTGTCTCCCTCCCTGTCTCCCTCCCTCACTGTCTCCCTCCCTGTCTCTCCCTTCTCTATACCATCCCTCCCTGTCTCTCCCTCCCTCCCTGTCTCTCCCTTCTCTATACCATCCCTCCCTGTCTGTCTCTCCCTCCCTGTCTGTCTCTCCCTCCCTGTCTCCCTCCCTCACTGTCTCCCTCCCTGTCTCTCCCTCCCTCCCTGTCTCCCTTCTCTATACCATCCCTCCCTGTCTGTCTCTCCCTCCCTGTCTGTCTCTCCCTCCCTGTCTCCCTCCCTCACTGTCTCCCTCCCTGTCTCTCCCTCTCTGTCTACCTCCTTCCCTGTTGAATCTCCCCCTTCTCTATTCCCTCCCTCCCTCTCTGTCTCTCTCTCCCTGTCTCCCTCCCTGTCTGTCTCTCCTTCCCTGTCTGTCTCTCCCTCCCTCCCTGTCTCTCCCTTCTCTATACCCTCCCTCCCTGTCTGTCTCTCCCTCACTGTCTCCCTCCCTCCCTCACTGTCTCCCTCCCTGTCTCTCCCTCCCTCCCTGTCTCTCCCTTCTCTATACCATCCCTCCCTGTCTGTCTCTCCCTCCCTGTCTCCCTCCCTCACTGTCTCCCTCCCTGTCTCCCTCCCTCACTGTCTCCCTCCCTGTCTCTCCCTTCTCTATACCATCCCACCCTGTCTCTCCCTCCCTCCCTGTCTCTCCCTTCTCTATACCATCCCTCCCTGTCTGTCTCTCCCTCCCTGTCTGTCTCTCCCTCCCTGTCTCCCTCCCTCACTGTCTCCCTCCCTGTCTCTCCCTCCCTCCCTGTCTCTCCCTTCTCTATACCATCCCTCCCTGTCTGTCTCTCCCTCCCTGTCTGTCTCTCCCTCCCTGTCTCCCTCCCTCACTGTCTCCCTCCCTGTCTCTCCCTCCCTCCCTCCCTGTCTCTCCCTCCCTCCCTGTCTCCCTTCTCTATACCATCCCTCCCTGTCTGTCTCTCCCTCCCTGTCTCCCTCCCTATCCCATCTCTCTCTCCCCCTTCTCTATTCCCACCCTTTCTCCCTGTTTGTCTCTCTCCCTCCGCATCCCCCATCCCTCCCTCCCTCTCACCCTCGCCCCCCTGTTACCCATCTCCCCCTCCCTCCCACCCTCACCCCCCTGTTACCCATCTCCCTCCCTCCCACCCTCGCCCCCCTGTTACCCATCTCCCCATCCCTCCCTCCCTCCCACCCTCGCCCCCCTGTTACCCATCTCCCCATCCCTCCCTCCCACCCTCGCCCCCCTGTTACCCATCTCCCCATCCCTCCCTCCCTCCCACCCTCACCCCCCTGTTACCCATCTCCCCATCCCTCCCTCCCTCCCACCCTCGCCCCCCTGTTACCCATCTCCCCATCCCTCCCTCCCTCCCACCCTCGCCCCCCTGTTACCCATCTCCCCATCCCTCCCTTCCACCCTCGCCCCCCTGTTACCCATCTCCCCATCCCTCCGTTACCCTCGCGTCCGCGCGCCCGAACCCGAGGCTTTCGCCATGCACGCAGACACCCACGGTCTCCCCACACCCAGGGCCTTCCTCACACGCTGCCACGGCTCTGGAGAAAGCAGGAGCAGGGCCAGGAGGAGGTGGACGAGGAGGAGGAGGAGGAGGAGAAGGAATTGCGACGATCATGGGGGAGGCGTTGGCCGTGTTGCCGACCCCCGTGCGGGACGGGTACCCGCTGGAGGCACTGCAGCGCGAGCCCGACTTAAAGTATCTGTGCGGGGCCTGCGGCCGCCTGCTCAGGGCGGCCGTGCAGGCGCCCTGCGGCCACCGCTTTTGCCACGGGTGCCACAGCAAGCTTGCCACGAGGTGGGCGGGGGTGGGGGTACACTCACGTGTGTGTCTGTGTGTGTGTCTGTGTGTGTGTCTGTATGTGTGTCTGTATGTGTGTCTGTGTGTGTCTGTGTGTGTGTCTGTATGTGTGTCTGTATGTGTGTCTGTGTGTGTCTGTGTGTGTGTCTGTGTGTTTGTCTGTATGTGTGTGTGTATGTGTGTCTGTGTGTGTGTGTCTGTATGTGTGTCTGTATGTGTGTCTGTGTGTGTGTCTGTGTGTGTGTCTGTATGTGTGTCTGTGTGTGTGTCTGTGTGTGTGTTTGTCTGTATGTGTGTCTGTATGTGTGTGTGTATGTGTGTGTGTATGTGTGTCTGTGTGTGTGTCTGTATGTGTGTCTGTGTGTGTGTCTGTGTGTGTGTCTGTATGTGTGTCTGTATGTGTGTCTGTGTGTGTGTCTGTGTGTGTGTCTGTATGTTTGTCTGTGTGTGTGTCTGTATGTGTGTCTGTGTGTGTGTGTGTCTGTATGTGTGTCTGTGTGTGTGTCTGTGTCTGTATGTGTGTCTGTATGTGTGTCTGTGTGTGTGTGTATATGTCTGTGTGTGTGTCTGTGTGTGTGTCTGTGTGATGTGTCTGTATGTCTGTGTGGGGAGCGGTAGCGTAGCGGTTAGCGCTACGCTGCGCTATGAACCCGGCGACACGAGTTCGATTCCCGCTCACGGCCAACACCGGTGACGATTATCTGAACCGGTCCCGGGCCTCCCCTAGGTCGACTCAGCCTCAAATGAGTACCTGGTGCGGTGTGTAAACATCGCCACTAGGGAGACAAAGGCGGTCAGGCGTGGTGCTGGCCACCCACCCCCTCGTGTACCGTTCCGGCCTTCATAGGTGCTCGCTAAAAGCACTTGCCCCACAGTCTGTTAAGGCTATATGGGGGATCTTTGTGCCTGTGTGTGTCTGTATGTGTGTCTGTATGTGTGTGTTTGTGTACGTGTGTGTCTGTATGTGTGTCTGTTTGTGTGTATGTGTGTGAGGGGAGCGGTAGTGTAGCGGTTAGCGCTACGCCGCGCTACGAACCTGGCGACCCGGGTTCAATTCCGTACCACGGCTAACACCGGTGACGTTTATCTGAACCGGTCCTGGGCCTCCCCTAGGTCGACCCGGCCTTAAATGAGTACCCGGTGAGATGTGTAAGCATCGCCACTGGGGAGACAAAGGCGGTCGGGCGTGGTGCTTGCCACCCACCCCCTCGTGTGCCGCAGTGCCGACCTTCATAGGTGCTACGACTCGCTACGAACAGCACTTGCTCCAACAGTCTGCTAAGGCTCTATGGGGGATCTTTGTGTGTGAGTGGGTGAGTGGGGAGGAGGGAGAAGGGGAGCTGGAGCCGATGGGAGGTGATTGTATCATACGGTTGTTAAGGTTTTTTGTGGCTGTATTGTACGATTGTTGTGGTGGTTGTTGTATTGTACGGTTGTTGTGGTGGTTGTTTGTATTGTACGGTTGTTGTGGTGGTTATATTGTACGGTTGTTGTGGTGGTTGTTGTAATGTACGGTTGTTGTGGTGGTTGTTGTATTGTACGGTTGTTGTGGTGGTTGTATTTTATGGTTGCTGTGGTGGTTATTTGTATTGTACGGTTGTTGTGGTGGTTGTTGTATTGTACGGTTGTTGTGGTGGTTATATTGTACGGTTGTTGTGGTGGTTGTTGTATTGTACGGTTGTTGTGGTGGTTGTTGTATTGTACGGTTGTTGTGGTGGTTGTTGTATTGTACGGTTGTTGTTGTGGTTATATTGTACGGTTGTTGTGGTGGTTGTTGTATTGTACGGTTGTTGTGGTGGTTGTTGTATTGTACGGTTGTTGTGATTTTTTTGTGGTTGTATTGTACGGTTGTTTTGGTTGTTGTGGTTGTTGCTCCCACAGACCAGAGCAATGGTTGTGCCCCCGGTGTCAGGAAGAAGGCACTCACGAAGAGGAATTGTACTCATCGCCCAACAACCAGGTGAAACGCCACAACAATCGCCACAACAGTCGCCACCACGACCACCACCACAAGAATCATTGCAACCACCACAACGATCACAACAACAACAGCTGCCGCTCATCCCCTTGCGTTGTCCACCAGTGTTTTCCTGACCGGGCGACTCGCCGTGAGGTGGACCAACTTCCCGCTCGCTGTACCAACCCGGGCTGCTCATGGTCCGGCATCGTGGGAGACTACGATGTGAGTGAGCGGTCACCGTCTCTCCGCTTGTCCCTCCGCTCGCCCCACCGCTCGTCCCTCCGCTCGTCCCTCCGCTCGCCCCACCGCTCGTCCCTCTGCTCGCCCCTCCGCTCGTCCCTCCGCTCGCCCCACCGCTCGTCCCTCCGCTCGCCCCTCCGCTCGTCCCTCCGCTCATCTCTCCGCTCGTCCCTCCACTCGTCCCTCCACTCGTCCCACCGCTCGTCCCACCGCTCGTCCCTCCGCTCGTCTCGTCCCACCGCTCGTCCCTCCACTCGTCCCACCGCTCGTCCCTCCGCTCATCCCTCCGCTCGTCCAACAGCTCGTCCCTCCACTCGTCCCTCCGCTCGTCCCTCCACTCGTCCCTCCGCTCGTCCCTCCACTCGTCCCTCCGCTCGTCCCTCTGCTCGTCCCTCCGCTCGTCCCTCCGCTCGTCCAACAGCTCGTCCAACAGCTCGTCCCTCCACTCGTCCCTCCGCTCGTCCCTCCACTCGTCCCTCCGCTCGTCCAACAGCTCGTCCAACAGCTCGTCCCTCCACTCGTCCCTCCGCTCGTCCCTCCACTCGTCCCTCCGCTCGTCCCCCTGCTCGTCCCTCCGCTCGTCCCTCCGCTCGTCCAACAGCTCGTCCCTCCACTCGTCCCTCCGCTCGTCCCTCCGCTCGTCCAACAGCTCCTCCCTCCACTCGTCCCACCGCTCGTCCCTCTGCTCGTCCCTCCGCTCGTCCCTCCCCTCGTCCAACAGCTCGTCCCTCCGCTCGTCCCTCCGCTCGTCCCTCCGCTCGTCTCCTTCTGGAAATGTGTGTGGAATTTGTGTTCTACAGAGTGAGCGTTTGAGTGGGTGAGTGAGTGGGTGAGTGGGTGAGTGGGTGGGTGAGTGGGTGGGTGGGTGAGTGGGTGAGTGAGTGGGTGAGTGGGTGAGTGGGTGGGTGAGTGAGTAGGTGAGTGAGCGGGTGGGTGGGTGAGTGGGTGGGTGGGTGGGTGAGTGGTTGGGTAAGTGAGTGGGTGAGTGAGTGGGTGAGTGGGTGAGTGGGTGAGTGGGTGGGTGAGTGGGTGAGTGGGTGAGTGAGTGAGTGAGTGGGTGGGTGAGTGGGTGAGTGAGTGATTGAGTGAGTGAGTGAGTGGGTGAGTTCAAAGAGAGACCAGGGTAGAGAAGGCTCATTTGCTGTCGTGTGGGGAGTGGTGGTGTAGCGGTTAGCGCTACGCTGCGCTATGAACCCGCCGACCCGAGTTCGAAACCCACTCACGGCCAACACCAGTGACGATTAACAGCACTTGCCCCTACAGTCTGTTATGGCTATGCAGGGGATCTTTGTCTTTGTGGTGGTTACCGCACTGTAAGGCATGGGCCAGATCAGCTCAATAACAACGGTAGGAGGCTGCTAGACTTCTGTGTAGCTCATGGGCTTGTAATTACCAACACACTGTTCCGGCATCGGCGCATCCACAAATTGTGGATGCATGCCGGGTCCAAGCAAGAACATCTGCTGGACTACATAATGATAGAGCAGCAGATGCGGGCCCATATCCTTGACACCAGGGCCTACTGTGGAGCTGATCTGCGCACTGACCATCGGCTTGTCATCTGTAAGATGACCCTGCCATTATTCCATTCCAGTGGTGGATGTCCATCTAGGACCCCATTCAAACCCACAGTGGCCTGGCCACAGCTCGCTGATGAAAGTTTCAAGCGAGAATTTCATCATCGCTTGCAGCTGGGATTTCCATTGTCCCCCCTCCTCCTATTGTCGAGGAGAAATGGGCAAGGTTTTGGACTGTGGATCATGCAGCTGCATCGGCTGCTTTGGGTATGCAATCCAGGCCTCCCCAGAGACCCTGGCTGACAGAGAAGGTGTTCTGGCTGGCTGAGAAAAAGCGACAGGCCCACTCCCACCGTCTACAGCATCCCATGTCGGTGAAGGAAGAGGCTTACCGCAGCCTTCGCTCGGAGGTTCGGAGAGCCATGACGCGCTGCAAGGATGACTGGTCGTCACGGGTTGCTGAGGAGATGGCATCTGCCTCAGTAGCCCATGATCACAAATTGCTTGTCAATTCCATCAAAAAAATTACTTGCGGCGCCACACCTATCACCAACCTGATCTGATCTCCAACCCCAGGAACAGGTTTGCAGGACTGGTGAGCATTTTTGTGAGATCTTGAGGGAGGGGAAATCCCGCAGTCCAGAAAACATCATGGGGCAATGTGGGGATTACCCTGCTGAGGCTGCAGTGCCTCAAATATTGGAAGAAGTAGACACCCCCTGTGAGTAGCTGGCTGAAGTACCATCTGTTGAAGTTAGGAAGGCGATCCAGAGTCTGGGTAAAGCTGCGTGGCCGGGAGTCGGAGCAATTCCCTCTTCACCTTGGGGTGCGACAGGGATGTCCTCTGGCTCCCACATTATTTAACATTTCTTTGACCACGTAGTTGGAAAAGCCTTCCATTGCTGTACCGGAGGAATCTCTATCTGGTACAGATACATTCGGAGGCTGATCGATGCCCGGGTGCGATCGAGCGATGGCTTCCTATTGGTCAACCATGTTATGTATGCTGATGATTTGGTGATTGCTGCGCACTTAGAGGAGTTGGAGGCGCTGCTGCGAGGCCTGGAGCATGTCACTAAGAGGTGGGGCCTTACCATCAGCCCCACCAAAACTAAGCACCTACCTGGGTATTTTGTGCCATCAAACACTCCACCTTCTCAACACTCCCATTGGTGAGGTGGCAGTCGTAGAGAGAGTTGACAGTTTTCCATATCTGGCCAGTGTGCTTATGACCAGCTCCGATTTTACAGCAGAGGTCTCACTCCAAATCAGTCGAGCGGCAATATATTTTCATCGGCTGTGTAATGCTGTGTGGAAGCTACCTGGTCTGTCGCTTCTCACGAAGCTTTGGATTTTTTCGGCCACGATTATTCCCTCCCTTCTCTATTCTTGCGAAACGTGGACCCCCCCCCTAATGGAGCATCTTCACCAGTTAGAAACATTCAGGCTGGCCTGCCTGCGATCCATCCTGGGTTTCACCAGGTTGGATTGTGTGAGGAGCTCACAAATCTGTGAAAGATCTGGATACATTACCATCAGTGAGCTGCTCCTGTAGGTAAGACTGCTTTGGCTGGGTCATGTAGCCCGCATGCCCAGCCACCGCTTGCCTGAACAGCTTTTGTTTGGCCAGAAAGAGGGGGCTAAAAGGGGCGTGGCATAGGCTGGAGAAGAGGTGGAGTGATGTGGTACAAGAGGACGTGGAGCTGAGTAGACTTGCTGATGACTGGTACCAGCGGTGTCAAGATCTGTGGAGGAGGATCATGAAGGACGCGACTTGGCAGTTGGAGGTAGTCGCCCTCCAACAACAACGGAGGGCAGAGGAGCGACGCTCAAAAACAACGAGCGGAGTGCCGGGTGGCTAAAACGCAGCAAATTGGCACAGTAGGGGGCACAGGTGGTGCATCGACCACTCATCTCAGTCAACCCATGGCACCTGGATCTGTCCCGTGACCTGCCAGTGGATGTTCGACACTTGACGTGGCCTTAACGTGCACATAGCCTGGCGCAAGTGCCGTGGTGATGTCACCGCCACTTAGTGGCCAACGGCGGTTATTGTTGTGTGTACGTGTGTGTGTGTAGGTGTTTACGTGTGTGTTTACGTGTGTACGTGTGTGTTTACGTGTGTGTGTGTACGTGTGTGTGTGCGTGTGTGTACGTGTGTACGTGTTTACGTGTGTGTGTACGTGTGTGTACGTGTGTGTGTGTACGTGTGTATGTGTGTGTGTGTACATGTGTGTACGTGTGTGTGTGTGTACGTGTGTGTGTGTTTACGTGTGTGTGTGTTTACGTGTGTGTGTGTTTACGTGTGTGTGTTTACGTGTGTGTGTGTGTACGTGTGTGTGTGTATGTGTGTGTGTACGCTAGGGTCACGAGTCGGCATGTGAGCTCCGCTGGACCACGTGCCCTGCGTGTGGTGGCCGCGTGCGACACCGCGAGTTGGGGGAGCATGGCCAGAAGAGCTGCCCTGCACGCACAGCGCTCTGCAGGCACTGTCGGGCGCCCTGCACCGCACAGGAGCTGCGGGTTTGCAGAATGCGCACACACGTACACACACACACACATATTCGCGTACACACGTACACACACAACAACAACCGCCATTCGCCACTAAGTGGCGGTGACGTCACCACGACGCTTGTGCCAGGCTATGTGCACCCTGAGGCCACGTGAAGTGTCGAACGCCCGCTGGCAGGAGGTCACGGGGCAGACCCAGGTGCCACGGGTCGACTGACTGAGATGACTGGCTGATGCACCACCTGTGCCCCCTACTGTGCCAACCTGCTGTGCTTTAGCCACCCAGCGCTCCGCTCGTTGTTCTGAGCGTCGCTCCTCCGCCCTCCGTTGTTGGAGGGCGACTGCCTCCAACTGCCCAGTAGCGTCCTTCACGAGCCTCCTCCACAGAGGCCGATCTTGACACCGCTGGTACCAGTCATCGGCAAGTTCACTCAGCTCCACGTCCTCATGTACCACATCACTCCATCTCTTCTCTAGCCCGTGCCGCGCCCGCTTAGCCCCCTCGATCCGGCCGAACAAAAGCTGTTTCGGCATGCGGTGGCTGGTTATGCGGGCTACATGACCCAGCCAACGCAGCCTTGCCCGCCGGAGGAGCTCACCGATGGGACCTTGCCCAGATCTTTCAAGCATTTGTGAGCTCACACAATCCAGTCTGGTTAAACCCAGGATGGATCGTAGGCAGGCCAGCCTAAATGTTTCTAACCGGCGAAGATGTTCCATTAGGGGGGTCCACGTTTCGCAAGCGTAGAGAAGGGAGGGAATGACCGTGGCCGGGAAGACCTGAAGCTTAGTGCGGAGCGACAGACCAGGTAGCTTCCACGCAGCGTTACGCAACCGATGAAAAGATATTGCCGCTCGACTGATTCGGAGTGAGACCTCTGCTGTTAAACTGGAGCCAGTCATAAGCACACTGCCCAGGTATGGGAAACTCTCCACTCTCTCCACAACTGCCCCATCACCGATTGGGAGTTGTGGGGGTGGAGTGTCCGATGGTACAAAATACCCAGGCAGGTGCTTAGTTTTGGTGGGCTGATGGTAAGGCCCCACCTCTTAATGGCACGCTCCAGTCTCAGCAGCAGCGTCTCCAACTCCTCCTCTGACTGAGCAGCTATTACCAAATCATCAGCATACATAACGTGGTTGAGCAATAGGGAGCCATCCCTTGACCGCACCCGGGCATCGATCAGCCTCCCATTATATCTGTACCATATGGAGATTCCCCCGGTACAGCTATTGAAGGCTTCACGAACTACGTGGTCAAAATAGATGTTAAATAATGTGGGAGCCAGAGGACATCCCTGTCGCACCCCAAGGTGTACAGGGAATGGCTCTGACTCCCGGCCACGTAGTTTTACCCAGGCCTGCTCACCATCATGAAGGTCCTTAATGATCATGAGCAGAGGGTCAGGTACTCCAAAAGCACGAAGAACAACCCAGAGCCCAGGCCTACTGATGGTATCATAGGCCTTGACCAGGTCAATAAAGCAGAGATGTAGGTCTTGTTGGAATTCCCTACACCTCTGCTGTAGCAGACGGACAGAAAATATGGCATCTGTGCAGGACTGCCCTTTCCTGAAACCGCATTAGGGCTCCGCAAGCCTCTCCTCAGCGTGCCTGGCAAAGCGATGCTGAATAATCCTTGCCAGGACCTTTCCCGGCAAACTGAGGAGTGAGATGCCCCTGTAGTTGTTACAGTCTGTGCGGTCCCCCTTCTTAAAAAGGGGGACCACCAGGGCATCCTTCCAATCCTGCGGAACCCGTCCAGTGGTCCAGACCGTTGTTATGATGTCATATAGGGCAGTCTGTGCACAAACGCCACCCTCCCTCAGCATTTCGCTTGGGAGATCATCTCTGCCCGCTGCCTTTCCTGGTCTCAGACTCCGGATCGCCTTCAGTACTTCCTCAACAGATGGCACCTCAGCCAGCCACTCACAGGGGGTGACTTCTTCCAATATTTGAGGCACCGCAGCCACAGCAGGGTCATCCTCACTTTGTGCCACGATGTTTTCCTGGCTGAAGGATTTTCCCTCCCCCAGGACCTCACAGAAATGCTCAGCAAATCTGCAAACCTGTTCCTGGGGGTCGGAGATTGGATCACCGTTTTTTCCCCTAATGATGGTAATAGGTGTGGCGCTGCAGGTTACTTTTTTGATGGAGTTAAATAGAGATTTATGATCACGGGCCACTGAGGCAGACTCCATCTCCTCAGCAACCCGCGACCACCACCCATCCTTGCAACGCCTCACGGCACTCCGAACCTCCGAGCGAAGGCTGCGGTAAGCCTCTTCATTCTCTGACGTGGGATTCTGTAGCCGATGACAGTGGGCCTGTCGCTTTTTCTCAACCATCCTGAACACCTCCTCTGTCAGCCAGGGTCTCTGGGGAGGTCTGGACCGCGTACCCAAAGCAGCCATTGCAGCTGCATGAGTCACAGTCCTAAACCTCGCCCATTTACCCTCGACATCAGGAGGAGTCGGGGACGATGCCAATCCCAGCCGCAAGCGATGATGAAATTCTCGCTTGCAACTTTCATCAGATAACTGAGACCAGGCCACTTTAGGTTGGAATGGGGTCCTGGGTGTACACCCACCACCGGAGTGGAAGAATGGCAGGCGCATCTTACAAATGACTAGTCGATGGTCAGAGGGCAGATCAGCTCCACGGTAGGTCCTGGTGTCAAGGACATGGGCTCGCATCCGCTGGTCCGTCACTATGTAGTCCAGCAGATGTTCTTGCTTGGACCCGGCATGCATCCATGATGTTGTGTGGATGCGCTGATGCCGGAACAGCGTGTTGGTAATTACAAGCCCATGGGCTGCACAAAAATCTAGCAGCCTCCTACCATTGTTATTGAGCTGATCTGGCCCATGCCCTCCAATCACTCCAGACCAGGTGCCAGTATCATGACCACCTTGGGCATTGAAGTCACCCAACATGATGACTCTATCCCGAGGGGCCACTTTAGCCAGCACCTGTGACAGGAGGTCATAGAAGGCATCTGACTCATCGGCTTTGCCTGCATCCCTCCACGGATGTTCATCTTCGGTGGGTGCATAAGTAACCACGACCACCATTCCTCGCCTCCGGTTGATGGGAAGGCGAGCCCAAAGTAGCCTGGGGCTTACAGCTTCCCACACCTCACCGCCACGCTCCCACGCCCCCTTCACTCTTTTGTTCAAAAGAAGAGCCACACCCTGTTGTTTGGCAGTCTGCTGCCCCGAGTAGAGGACTGTCCACCCCTCATGGTGGCAGGAGCCAGAGCCGGTCCACCGGACCTCCTGAATGCCACAGACGTACACACACACGTACACACACAAGTACACACACACAACAACCGCCATTCGCCACTAAGTGGCGGTGACGTCACCACGACGCTTGTGCCAGGCTATGTGCACCCTGAGGCCACGTGAAGTGTCGAACGCCCGCTGGCAGGAGGTCACGGGGCAGACCCAGGTGCCACGGGTCGACTGACTGAGATGACTGGCTGATGCACCACCTGTGCCCCCTACTGTGCCAACCTGCTGTGCTTTAGCCACCTGGCGCTCCGCTCGTTGTTCTGAGCGTCGCTCCTCCGTCCTCCGTTGTTGTTGGAGGGTGATTGCCTCCAACTGCCCAGTAGCAGCGTCCTTCACGAGCCTCCTCTACAGAGGCCGATCTTGACACTGCTGGTACCAGTTATCGACAAGTTCACTCAGCTCCACATCCTCCGTACCGCATCAGTCCATCTCTTCACCAGCCCATGTCGTGCCCATTTAGCCCCCTCTATGCAGCCAAACAGGCTGTTGGGGCAAGTGCTGTTATCACGCACATATGAAGGCGCCTTTGTCTCCCCGGTGGCGATGTTTACACACTGCACCAGGTACTCATTTGAGGCTGAGTCTGCCTAAGGGAGGCCCAGGACTGGTTCAGATAATTTTAACTGACCGTGAGCGGGAATCAAACCTGGGTCGTTGGGTTCATCGTAAATGTCGCCGGGTTCGTGGTGCTGGTCACCCACTTCCTCGTGTGCCATGCCGGCCTTCATAGGTACTTGCTGGCAGCACCTTCTCAAAAAGTTTGTTCAGACTATAAACTATTTAAACTACTTATTTTTTTATTGGGTAAGGCCCACTGAGCTATACAGCTCTGTATAGAAGCGACCTGGCCACAGACGCTAGCTCAACGAAGTGGCTTATCGAGTGGAAATTTATAGCAGCAGCCAAAGACTCTTAAACGGAGGGCCCGGAGAAAAATCCACATGACCACGGGGAGAGAGAGAGACGCAAACTCCAAATATACAGCAGCAGCAGGCGTCAGGGTTGGGTTTGAACCCATGAACCTCCTGCGTACCAGGCGAGGGAGTTCACATCTCACCACATTTTTGCAAGGCATCAAGTCACTGCATTAACCACACAAACATGCAAACAAACATGGCTCTGATAACATATGCATTGTCAAATATGCAGCAGGCGTCAGGGTCGGAATCGGCTCTTGCCCCAACAGTCTGTGAGGCTACACCGGGGATGTTCTTATGTTTTAGGAACATGACCTGATCTGCCCAAAGTTCCCCACGACCTGCACTGCGTGCGGGAAACGCAAGATACCCAGAGAGAAGGTACGTGTGTGTACGAGTGTGTATGTGTGTGTACGTGTGTGTACGAGTGTCTGTACGTGTCTACGTGTGTGTACGAGTGTACGTGTGTGTACGGGATAGAGTCATCTTGTTGGGTGACTTCAATTCCCGAGTTGGTCATGATGCTGGCACCTGGTCTGGAGTGATTGGAGGGCATGGGCCAGATCAGCTCAATAACAACGGTAGGAGGCTGCTAGATTTTTGTGCAGCCCATGGGCTTGTAGTTACCAACACGCTGTTCCGGCATCGGCGCATCCACACAACATCATGGATGCATGCCGGGTCCAAGTAAGAACATCTGCTGGACTACATAGTGACGGACCAACGGATGCGAGCCCATGTCCTTGACACCAGGACCTACCGTGCAGCTGATCTGCCCTCTTAACCATCGACTAGTCATCTGTAAGATGCACCTGCCATTCTTCCACTCCGGTGGTGGGTGTACACCCAGGACCCCATTCCAACCTAAAGTGGCCTGGTCTGAGTTATCTGATGAAAGTTGCAAGCGAGAATTTCATCATCGTTTGCTACTGGGGTTGGCATCGTCCTCCACTCCTCCTGATGTCGAGGGTAAATGGGCGAGGTTCAGGACTGTCACTCATGCAGCTGCATTGGCTGCTTTGGGTACGCGGTCCAGACCTCCCCAGAGACCCTGGCTGACAGAGGAGGTGTTCAGGATAGTTGAGAAAAAGCGACAGGCCCACTGTCATCGGCTACAGAATTCCACGTCAGAGAATGAGGAGGCTTACCACAGCCTTCGCTCGGAGATTCGGAGAGCCGTGAGGCGCTGCAAGGATGGGTGGTGGTCGCGGGTTGCTGAGGAGATGGAGTCTGCCTCAGTGGCCCGCGATCACAAATCTCTATTTAACTCCATCAAAAAAGTAACCTGCAGCGCCACACCTATTACCATCATTAGGGGAAAAAACGGTGATCCAATCTCCGACCCCCAGGAACAGGTTTGCAGATTTGCTGAGCATTTCTGTGAGGTCGTGGGGGAGGGAAAATCCCTCAGCCAGGAAAACATCGTGGCACAAAGCGGGGATGACCCTTCTGAGGCTGCGGTGCCTCAAATATTGGAAGAAGTCACCCCCTGTGAGTGGCTGGCTGAGGTACCATCTGTTGAGGAAGTACTGAAGGCGATCCTGAGTCTGAGACCAGGAAAGGCAGCGGGCAGAGATGATCTCCCTAGCGAAATGCTGAGGGAGGGTGGCGTTTGTGCACAGACTGCCCTATATGACATCATAACAACAGTCTGGACCATTGGACGGGTTCCGCAGGATTGGAAGGATGCCCTGGTGGTCCCTCTCTTTAAGAAGGGGGACCGCAGAGACTGTAACAACTACAGGGGCATCTCACTCCTCAGTGTGCCGGGAAAGGTCCTGGCAAGGATTATTCAACATCGCCTTGCCAGGCACGCTGAGGAGAGGCTTGCAGAGCCCCAATGCGGTTTCAGGAAAGGGCGGTCCTGCACAGATGCCATATTTTCTGTCCGTCTACTACAGCAGAGGTGTAGGGAATTCCAGCAAGACCTACATCTCTGCTTTATTGACCTGGTCAAGGCCTATGATACCATCAATAGGCCTGGCCTCTGGGTTGTTCTTCGTGCTTTTGGAGTCCCTGACCCTCTGCTCACGATCATTAAGGACTTTCATGATGGTGAGCGGGCCCGGGTAAAACTATGTGGCCGGGAGTCAGAGCCATTTCCGGTACACCTTGGGGTGCGACAGGGATGTCCTTTGGCTCCCACATTATTTAACATCTATTTTGACCACGTAGTTCGTGAAGCCTTCAATAGCTGTACCGGGGGAATCTCCATATGGTACAGATATAATGGGAGGCTGATCGATGTCCGGGTGCGGTCAAGGGATGGCTCCCTATTGCTCAACCACATTATGTATGCCGATGATTTGGTAATAGCTGCTCATTCAGAGGAGGAGTTGGAGACGCTGCTGCTGAGATTGGAGCGTGCCACTAAGAGATGGGGCCTTACCATCAGCCCCACCAAAACTAAGCACCTGCCTGGGTATTTTGTACCATCGAACACTCCACACCCACAACTCCCAATCGGTGATGGGGCAGTTGTGGAGAGAGTGGAGAGTCTCCCATACCTGGGCAGTGTGCTTATGACCGGTTCCAGTTTAACAGCAGAGGTCTCACTCCGAATCAGTCGAGCGGCAATATCTTTTCATCGGTTGCGTAACGCTGCGTGGAAGCTACCTGGTATGTCGCTCTGCACTAAGCTTCAGGTCTTCTCGGCCACGGTCATTCCCTCCCTTCTCTACGCTTGCGAAACGTGGACCCCCCTAATGGAACATCTTCGCCGGTTAGAAACATTTAGGCTGGCCTGCCTACGATCCATCCTGGGTTTAACCAGACTGGATTGTGTGAGGAGCTCACAAATCCTTGAAAGATCTGGGCAAGGTCCCATCGGTGAGCTCCTCCGGCGGGCAAGGCTGCGATGGCTGGGTCATGTAGCCCGCATGCCCAGCCACCGCATGCCGAAACAGCTTTTGTTCGGCCGGATTGAGGGGGCTAAGCGGGCGCGGCACGGGCTAGAGAAGAGATGGAGTGATGTGGTACAGGAGGACGTGGAGCTGAGTGGACTTGCTGATGACTGGTACCAGCAGTGTCAAGATCGGCTTCTGTGGAGGAGGCTCGTGAAGGATGCTACTGGGCAGTTGGAGGTAGTCGCCCTCCAACAACAACGGATGGCTGAGGAGCGACGCTCAGAACAACGAGCGGAGCGCCGGGTGGCTAAAGCACAGCAGGTTGGCACAGTAGGGGGCACAGGTGGTGCATCAGCCAGTCATCTCAGTCAGTTGACCCGTGGCACCTGGGTCTGCCCCGTGACCTCCTGCCAGCGGGCGTTCGACACTTCACGTCGCCACTTGGTGGCGAATGGCAGTGGTTGTTGTATGTGTGTGTACGTGTGTATGTATGTGTGTGTACGTGTGTGTGTACGTGTGTGTAAGTGTACGCGTGTGTACGTGTGTATGTACGTGTGTGTGTACGTGTGTGTGTACATGTGTATGTACATGTGTGTGTACGTGTGTGTGCGTGTGTGTAAGTGTACGCGTGTGTACGTGTGTGTGTACGTTTGTGTATACGTGTGTGTGTGTACGTGTGTGTATGTACATGTGTGTGTACGTGTGTGTAAGTGTACGCTTGTATGTACATGTGTATGTACGTATGTGTGTACATGTGTGTGTATGCACGTGTGTATGTACGTGTGTATGTATATGTGTGTACATGTGTGTGTATGCACGTGTGTGCGTACATGTGTGTGTATGTACGTGTGTATGTACATGTGTGTATATACATGGGTGTGTATGTACGTGTGTGTGTACATGTGTGTGTATGTACATGTGTGTGTACATGTGTGTGTGTGTGTACATGTGTGTGTATGCACGTGTGCGCGTTCTGCACACCCGCAGCTCCTGCGTGGTGCAGGGCGCCTGGTGCTGCCTGCAGCGGCCCTGTGGAGGCTACAAGGGGGGTGGTGGGAGCGTCGCCGCGTGGCCGTCTGGAACTTGTTTTTTTCCGCCCTTCCAGCTGCCTCTGCATGAGAAGTCGTGTCTCCGCGTGAAGAGACCCTGCCGCTTCGCAGACATCGGCTGCCCCTTTCAGGTGCGTGACGCCGGGCCGGCACGCGGCGATAGGACGCGGCGTCGCCCACGCGCGTCTCCGCTCAACTCCGCCCGTCCACCACGTCGCTCACCACCGCGTCGCTCACCACCACGTCGCCCACCACCACGTCGCTCACCACCACCGTGTCGCTCATCACCACGTCGCTCACCACCACGTCGCACGTCCACCACGTCGCTCGTCCACCACGTCGCTCACCACCACGTCGCTCACCACCACGTCGCTCACCACCACCACGTCGCTCACCACCATGTCGCTCACCACCACCACGTCGCTCACCACCACGTCGCACGTCCACTACGTCGCTCACCACCACGTCGCTCACCACCACGTCGCACGTCCACCACGTCGCTCGTCCACCACGTCGCTCACCACCACGTCGCTCACCACCACCACGTCGCTCACCACCATGTCGCTCACCACCACCACGTCGCTCACCACCACCGTGTCGCCCACCACCACGTCGCCCACACGCTTCACCGCACGTCCACCACGTCGCCCACCACCACGTCGCTCACGCGCTTCACCACCCGTCCACCACGTCGCCCACACGCTTCACCACCCGTCCACCACGTCGCTCGTCCACCACGTCGCCCACACGCTTCACCACCCGTCCACCACGTCGCCCACACGCTTCACCGCCCGTCCACCACGTTGCTCGTCCACCACGTCGCCCACACGCTTCACCGCTCGTCCGCCGCGCTGGCGACATCAGCACGGCACGGCTCGGTTTCCGCCAGTAGAAAAACAACGACGACGACGACGACAACTTCCCGCGCTGGTTGCCGTTAACTCGCGAACGGAACTCCCCGCCGACCAGGCCGAGGCTGACAAGCTTGCGGGGCACGAGCAGTTGGCCACCGCCTCCCACGTCGCCATCCTGCGCTCCTTCCTGCTGCACTTGCGCGGCCTCCTGCCGCCTCCGGCCGCCGCCGCCGCCGCCGAAGCAGCCGGCGGCGGCGGCGGCGGCGGCGGTGCGGCTGCGGCGGCATCGGTCCCGCAGTTGGACCCGGCTTTGGGCGGCCGACTGTCCAAGCTGGCGCTGAGGTTGTCCCGGTTGGAGGTGGCGGTGGCGGAGAGGGGCGGGCGGGCCGCCGCTCGTGTCAGGAGGCCGTCGGCGGCCGCCGATGGGGCTGAAGGAGGAGCCGGCGCCGGTGAGAAGCCAGCGGTTTCACTTGCCCCTCGTTTTTATTTTACGCGCAAACGAGCTTGACTAGCCGGCTTCGCACGGGACTTGGATTCCTGTCTTGGATTAATACAGGGCCTACGCGCAGGGTGGGGGGGGGGGGCGGGGATGCGTGACGTCAGCAGGCACACAGCGTAACGCTGCCGCATGCGGGTGACATCACAGATGTCACGTCACCGCTCACTTGCCGTGCAAAATATATCCATTATTGCGTGATTGGGCGTGCGCGCGATTGAGAGCAGCTGGTACTTGGGGTGGGTGGTGGCGGCAAAATGTTATCTCCCTCGCCTGGTATACAGGAGGGCATGGGTTCGATCCCTACCCTGAAGCCTGTTGTATGTTTGGAGTTTGAATGTTGTCCCCGTGGTTATGTTGATTTTCTCCGGGTCCTCCGGTTTTTCCCGCCACATTTAAAAACAACGTCACACGTTCGGAGTATTGGACTGCTATCGATGTCCACGTGATGAGCCACTTTCTTGAGCTGCTATCATTAGTGACAGACAGGTAGCTTCTAAAAAAGAGCCTTACTCACAATCACTATATTTAGAATAATAAAATCGTTTTTATTATTCTAAATATGGTGATTGTGAGTAGGCAATCTGGGACCTCGATAGCTTATTGACGATAAGTTCGTGAGCGAGCGCGCCCAATTTTTTGAACCCGCCTCATTTCTGTTCCGCCGGTGCGGTTGACGTTGGCGCCAGGCGAGGAGGAGGCGGCGGTGCCAGCGGCGCTGGAGGAGCGCTGCGCCAGACTCGAGCGCTCGCTGGGCCCGCTGGAGGCGACCGTCGCCGCCTTGGACCGCCAGGCCGAGCGCTGCTCCTCCGCGGCGCGGGAGGCCGACACTCGGCGGCAGGCCGAGCGTGCAGCGGTCGCCACGCTCGCCGGCAAGGTGCGGCCACCGCCAACACCGCTCGGCCACCACCACTCGGCCACCGTCACCACTCGGCCACCACCACCCCCACACGGCCACCACCACCAGTGCCACCACCACCTCCAGTGCCACCACCACCATTTGGCCACCCCCACTCGGCCACCACCACCCCCACTCGGCCACCACCACCACCACTCCCTCTCCCGTTTAGCCTCTAACAGCTGGCCGGGGCCTGGTGCTGCTGCTGCTGTAGTTGTTGTTGTTAACAAGCAGCAGCACCACTGGCGGGCCTGGTGCTGCTGCTGCTGCTGCTGTAGTTGTTGTTGTTAACAAGCAGCAGCACGAGGAGGGCCAAGTACTGCTGCTGTAGTTGTTGTTAACAAGCAGCAGCACGGCCAGGGCCTCGTGCTGCTGCTGTAGTTGTGGTTGTTAACAAGCAGCAGCACGGCTGGGGCCTCGTGCTGCTGCTGCTGTAGTTGTTGTTAACAAGCAGCAGCACGGCCAGGGCCTGCTGCTGCTGTAGTTGTTGTTAACAAGCAGCAGCACGAGGAGGGCCTGGTACTGCTGCTGCTGTAGTAGTTGTTGTAGTTGTTGTTAACAAGCAGCAGCACCACTGGCGGGCGATGCCTGTGAGGGGGTGGCCAGCAGCACCACGCCCGCCCGGGGGCCCCCATGTCTCCCCACCGGGGAGTCACTTTAGGTACTGAATTATTACAGGGAATCCTCTCCTTAGAGGTCTGTTCGTAAATAGATTTGTTACCAACTTTACTCCTGTCGATTCCAAACGTCTTGTACGGCGTGTACACTAAACACGGGGAATGGCTTTAAAAGTTGTATAATCTCCTGCGGATGGAGATGCCACTGGTTCTTCACGTTCTGCAGATGTAGTTGTCACCACCGCCATCTATTGTCCGAACAGGCAACTGGACGTACGGACGAGGTTTGTTCGTACCTCTGAAAGTTTGTAAGTCGAGGAGTTTCTGTATGAGCCATGAGATGATAAGTCTCTGTGTTGGTGGCGGTGAGCGGGAATTAGAAATCATCTAGCTTGGCTCCACCCACACTCTACCTGGCTCCGCCCACACTCCGCATGGCTCCACCCATACTCCATCTGGCTCTGCTCTCACTTCGCCTGGCTCCGCCCACACTCTGCCTGGCTCCGCCCACACTCCACCTGCCTCCGCTCACACTTCGCCTGGCTCCGCCCACACTACACCTGGCCCAGTCCACACTCCGCCTGGCTCCACCCACACTCCGCTTGACTCCGCCCACACTACACCTGGCCCCGTCTACACTTTGCCTGGCCCTGTCCACACTTTACCTGGCTCCACCCACACTCCGCCTGGCTCCGCCCACACTACACCTGGCCCCGTCCACACTTTGCCTGGCTCCACCCACACTCCGCCTGGCTCCACCCCCACTCCGCCTGGCTCCGCCCACACTACACCTGGCCCCATCTACACTTTGCCTGGCCGTGTCCACACTTTGCCTGGCTCCGCCCACACTTTTCCTGGCTCCACCCACACTCCACCTGGCTCCGCCCACACTACACCTGGCCCCGTCCACACTTTGCCTGGCTCCACCCACACTCCATCTGGCTCCGCCCACACTCCGCCTGGCTCCACCCACACTCCGCCTGGCTCCGCCCACACTACACCTGGCCCCGTCTACTCTTTGCCTGGCCCCGTCCACACTTTGCCTGGCTCCGCCCACACTTTTCCTGGCTCCGCCCACACTCCGCCCGGCACCACACAACTGGGAGAAAGTGCCCTCCCCCCCCAAGAAAGCTCCCCCCCCGCCTCACTTATTTTGTGAACGAGAGCAAATTAAATTCTGCCCCTCCGCCCCCTGCACCCTTGTCAGTGTGCCTCCCCTCTTTACATCAAGTGCTGCCCCCCCCGCCCCCCTCTGTACAGGAAGTCTCGCCTCTCTTTACATCAAGTGCCCCCCCCCCGCCCCCCTCTGTACAGGAAGCGCCGCCGCCTCTCTTCAGGAAGTCTCGCCTCTCTTTACAGAAAGTGCCGCACCTATTTACAGGAATTATCGCCCCTTTTTACCAGAAAGTGCTGCCCCCCTCTGTACAGGAAGTGCCGCCCCCAAGTTAAATCTCGTATCGCGCCCCTCCCCCCTCACCCTCCCCCCTCACCCTCCCCCCTCACCCTCCCCCTTCATCCTCCCCCTTCACCCCCTTCACCCTCTCCACCCTCAAAGACGAAACTCCCCCCTGAAGCCTTGCGGCGCTGCGGTCGCGAGATGTGAACTACCTCGCCTGGTATATAGCAGGTCGTGGGTTCCATCCTGACCTTGATGCCCGCTGTATATTTGGAGTTTGCGGTGTCTCTCTCCCCGTGGTCGCGTGGACTTTTCTCCGGGCCCTCCGGCTCCTCCCTCCACGTCTACAAAGCATGCGTTTAAGAGTCTTTGGCCGCTGCTATACATTTCCATATGATGATGGCAAGCCACTTCGTGGAGCTATCACTTGTGGCCTGGTCGCTTCTAAACAGACCGGTATAGCTCAGTGGGCCTCACCTAGTAAAATAAACATAGTTTATAGCCGTAACAGACTTGTGGGGAAAGTTTACGTTAGCCAGCACCTTGTGAAGGTCGCACGGCACACGAGGGGGTGGGTAGCCGACACCACGCCCGGCCGCCTTTGTCTCCCCGGTGGCGATGGTTCGCTGCGCACCTCACCGGGCACTCATTTGAGTCCGCGTCGACCTAGGGGAGGGAGGGAATCGAACTCGCGTGGCCGGGTTTGCAGCGCGCTAACCGCTACGCCACCTCCGCTCCCCACACACCCACGCTCACTCACTCTGTGGAACGCAGGCTCGCGCACGCACGGGGAGGCGGAGTCAGGGACCGAACCCAGCTCCGACCACCCAGTGGCAATCGTTGACTCGCCGCTCGCCGAGGTCCTCGCTTGAGGCCGAGTCCACCGAGGGGAGGAGTCTCGGGAGCTCCTCAGATAATCCGTCAGCCCCGTTGGCGGCGTGAGCCGGAATCGAACTCGGCCGTCTCCGCCCGGTAGCGCGGCGCTGACCGCGGCGCCACCGCTCTCTCTGCCCCCCCCCCCCCCCCCCCCCCCACGCTACCCGGAGCAGCTGCAGGCGCTGGAGCGCAAGCTGGCGCTGCGGGAGGTGGCGCTGGCCGACATGACGCTGCGCCTCTCCGCCCTCGAGGTCTCGTCCCACGACGGCTCCTTCGTGTGGAGGGTCGGCGACGTGCGGCGGCGCCGCGGCGACGCCGGCAGCGGGCGGCAGCTCGCCGTCTACTCGCCAGGTCGGCGCCGGCGCTGTCGCCGCGCGGCGTGGCGGTGGCGCCGGGAACGGACGAGCGAGCACGAGCGGTGGATGTCTAGCGTGTTTCTTTCGGTCCGTGGTTTTGTGGTAATTAATTGAAGGGCGGAGGAGCGACGCTCACGGCGACGAGCGGAGCGCCGGGCGGATAAAACACGGCAAGTTGGCACGGTGGTGGGCACAGGTGGTGCATCGGGCAGCCGTCTCAGCCGTCTCAGTCTCAGTCGTCTCAGTCTCCGTCGTCTCAGTCGTCTCAGTCTCAGTCGCAGTCTCGGTCTCGGTCTCAGTCTCAGTCGTCTCAGTCTCAGTCGTCTCAGTCTCAGTCGTCTCAGTCGTCTCAGTCGTCTCAGTCGTCTCAGTCGTCTCAGTCGTCTCAGTCGTCTCAGTCTAAGTCTCGGCCGTCTCAGTCTCAGTCGTCTCAGTCTCAGTCGTCTCAGTCCCAGTCTCAGTCGTCTCAGTCGTCTCAGTCGTCTCAGTCGTCTCAGTCTCAGTCTCGGTCTCAGTCTCAGTTGTCTCAGTCTCAGTCATCTCAGTCTCAGTCCCAGTCTCAGTCTCAGTCGTCTCAGTCTCAGTTGTCTCAGTCTCAGTTGTCTCAGTCTCAGTCATCTCAGTCTCAGTCCCAGTCTCAGTCTCAGTCGTCTCAGTCGTCTCAGTCCCAGTCTCAGTCTCAGTCGTCTCAGTCGTCTCAGTCTCAGTCGCAGTCTCAGTTGTCTCAGTCGTCTCAGTCTCGGTCTCGGTCTCGGTCTCAGTCTCAGTTGTCTCAGTCTCAGTCATCTCAGTCTCAGTTGTCTCAGTCTCAGTCGTCTCAGTCTCAGTTGTCTCAGTCGTCTCAGTCGTCTCAGTTGTCTCAGTCGTCTCAGTCGTCTCAGTCGTCTCAGTCTCAGTCTCGGTCTCAGTCTCAGTCGTCTCAGTCTCAGTCCCAGTCTCAGTCTCAGTCGTCTCAGTCGTCTCAGTCTCAGTCGTCTCAGTCTCAGTTGTCTCAGTCGTCTCAGTCTCAGTCGTCTCAGTCTCAGTCCCAGTCTCAGTCCCAGTCTCAGTCGTCTCAGCCTCAGTCGTCTCAGTCTCAGTCGTCTCAGTCTCAGTCGTCTCAGTCTCAGTCGTCTCAGTCTCAGTCGTCTCTCTCAGTCGTCTCAGTCTAAGTTGTCTCAGTCTCAGTCGTCTCGGCCGTCTCAGTCGTCTCAGTCTCAGTCATCTCAGTCTCAGCCGTCTCAGTCTCAGTCATCTCAGTCTCAGCCGTCTCAGTCGTCTCAGTCTCAGTCGTCTCAGTCTCAGTCGTCTCAGTCTCAGTCGTCTCAGTCTCAGTCCCAGTCTCAGTCCCAGTCTCAGTCGTCTCAGCCTCAGTCGTCTCAGTCTCAGTCGTCTCAGTCTCAGTCGTCTCAGTCTCAGTCGTCTCAGTCTCAGTCGTCTCTCTCAGTCGTCTCAGTCTAAGTTGTCTCAGTCTCAGTCGTCTCGGCCGTCTCAGTCGTCTCAGTCTCAGTCATCTCAGTCTCAGTCGTCTCAGTCTCAGTCGTCTCAGTCTTAGTCGTCTCAGTCTCAGTCGTCTCAGTCTTAGTCGTCTCAGTCTCAGCCTCAGTCGTCTCAGTCGTCTCAGTCTCAGTCGTCTCGGCCGTCTCAGTCGTCTGTCTCAGTCGTCTCGGCCGTCTCAGTCGTCTCGGCCGTCTCAGTCGTCTCAGTCGTCTCAGTCTCAGTCGTCTCAGTCTCAGTCGTCTCAGTCGTCTCAGTCGTCTGTCTCAGTCGTCTCAGTCTCAGTCGTCTCAGTCTCAGTCGTCTCAGTCTCAGTCGTCTCAGTCTCAGTCGTCTCAGTCGTCTCAGTCGTCTGTCTCAGTCGTCTCAGTCGTCTCAGTCTCAGTCGTCTCGGCCGTCTCAGTCGTCTCAGTCTCAGTCGTCTCAGTCTCAGTCGTCTCAGTCTCAGTCGTCTCAGTCTCAGTCGTCTCAGTCTCAGTCGTCTCAGTCTCAGTCGTCTCAGTCGTCTCAGTCGTCTCAGTCTCAGTCGTCTCAGTCTCAGTCGTCTCAGTCTCAGTCGTCTCAGTCTCAGTCGTCTCAGTCTCAGTCGTTTCAGTCTCAGTCGTCTCAGTCTCAGTCGTCTGTCTCAGTCGTCTCGGCCGTCTCAGTCGTCTCGGCCGTCTCAGTCGTCTCAGTCGTCTCAGTCTCAGTCGTCTCAGTCGTCTCAGTCTCAGTCGTCTCAGTCGTCTCAGTCTCAGTCGTCTCAGTCGTCTCAGTCTCAGTCGTCTCAGTCGTCTCAGTCTCAGTCTCAGTCGTCTCGGCCGTCTCAGTCGTCTCGGTCGACCCGTGGCACCTGAGTCTGCTCCGTGACACCTCACGTGGCTTTAACGTGCACATAGCCTGGCACAAGCGCTGTAGTGGCGAATGTCGGTTGTTGTTGTTGTGTGCCTGTCTTTGTCTCCTGAGGCGTCGTGGCCTTCACAGGTGCTACTCGCTAACAGCACTTGCCCCAGCAGTATGTTAAAGGCTATATGGGGGTTATTTATCTTTGTTTGTGTGGGCTAGGATTGGGCAAGGACATAGCTCCACCACCCTTTAGACTAACGTCACCCACAGACTAACGTCACCCACAGACTAACGTCACCCACAGACTAACGTCACCCACAGACTAACGTTACCCACAGACTAACGTCACCCACAGACTAACGTCACCCACAGACTAACGTCACCCACAGACTAACGTCACCTACAGACTAACGTCACCTACAGACTAACGTCACCTACAGACTAATGTCACCCACAGACTAACGTCACCCACACACTAACATCACCCACAGACTAACGTCACCCACAGACTAACGTCACCTACAGACTAACGTCACCTACAGACTAACGTCACCTACAGACTAACGTCACCTACAGACTAGCGTGACCCACAGACTAACGTCACCCACAGACTAACGTCACCCACAGACTAACGTCACCCACAGACTAACGTCACCCACAGACTAACGTCACCCACAGACTAACGTCACCCACACACTAACGTCACCCACAGACTAACGTCACCCACAGACTAACGTCACCTACAGACTAACGTCACCCACAGACTAACGTCACCCACAGACTAACGTCACCCACAGACTAACGTCACCCACAGACTAACGTCACCTACAGACTAACGTCACCCACAGACTAACGTCACCCACAGACTAACGTCACCCACAGACTAACGTCACCTACAGACTAACGTCACCCACAGACTAACGTCACCTACAGACTAACGTCACCCACAGACTAACGTCACTCACAGACTAACGTCACCTACAGACTAACGTCACCCACAGACTAACGTCACCTACAGACTAACGTCACTCACAGACTAACGTCACCCACAGACTAACGTCACCCACAGACTAACGTCACCCACAGACTAACGTCACCCACAGACTAACGTCACCCACAGACTAACGTCACCCACAGACTAACGTCACCCACAGACTAACGTCACTCACAGACTAACGTCACTCACAGACTAACGTCACCTAGAGACTAACGTCACCTACACACTAACGTCACCTACAGACTAACGTCACCCACAGACTAACGTCACCCACAGACTAACGTCACCCACAGACTAACGTCACCCACAGTCTAACGTTACCCACAGACTAACGTCACCCACAGACTAACGTCACCCACAGACTAACGTTACCGACAGACTAACGTCACCCACAGACTAACGTCACCCACAGACTAACGTCACCCACAGACTAACGTCACCCACAGACTAACGTCACCCACAGACTAACGTCACCCACAGACTAACGTCACCCACAGACTAACGTCACCTACAGACTAACGTCACTCACAGACTAACGTCACCCACAGACTAACGTCACCTACAGACTAACGTCACTCACAGACTAACGTCACCTACAGACTAACGTCACCTACAGACTAACGTCACCTACACACTAACGTCACCTACACACTAACGTCACCTACAGACTAACGTCACCTACAGACTAACGTCACCCACAGACTAACGTCACCCACAGACTAACGTCACCCACAGACTAACGTCACCCACAGACTAACGTCACCCACAGACTAACGTCACCCACAGACTAACGTCACCCACAGACTAACGTCACCCACAGACTAACGTCACCTACAGACTAACGTCACCCACAGACTAACGTCACCCACAGACTAACGTCACCTACAGACTAACGTCACCTACACACTAACGTCACCCACAGACTAACGTCACCTACACACTAACGTCACCCACAGACTAACGTCACCCACAGACTAACGTCACCCACAGACTAACGTCACCCACAGACTAACGTCACCTACACACTAACATCACCCACAGACTAACGTCACCCACAGACTAACGTCACCCACAGACTAACGTCACCCACAGACTAACGTCACCCACAGACTAACGTCACCCACAGACTAACGTCACCTACAGACTAACGTCACCCACAGACTAACGTCACCCACAGACTAACGTCACCTACACACTAACGTCACCCACAGACTAACGTCACCTACAGACTAACGTCACCCACAGACTAACGTCACCTACAGACTAACGTCACTCACAGACTAACGTCACCCACAGACTAACGTCACCCACAGACTAACGTCACCCACAGACTAACGTCACCCACAGACTAACGTTACCCACAGACTAACGTTACCCACAGACTAACGTCACCCACACACTAACGTCACCTACAGACTAACGTCACCCACAGACTAACGTCACCCACAGACTAACGTCACCTACAGACTAACGTCACCCACAGACTAACGTCACCCACAGACTAACGTTACCTACAGACTAACGTCACCTAAAGACTAACGTCACCCACAGACTAACGTCACCCACAGACTAACGTCACCCACAGACTAACGTCACCCACAGACTAACGTCACCTACAGACTAACGTCACCTAAAGACTAACGTCACCCACAGACTAACGTCACCCACAGACTAACGTCACCCACAGACTAACGTCACCCACAGACTAACATCACCTACAGACTAACGTCACCTACAGACTAACGTCACCCACAGACTAGTGTTGGTTATCACGGTGGTGGTGGTGGTGGTCGTGGTGGTGGTGGTGGTGGTTGTGGTGATGGCCGTTGTCTTTACGCCTCCCCTTGGGTCTCCGTGTGGCTTCGGCGACCACCGCCACCGCAGCGGCCGTCATCGGTGCTCACCGCCCGCCCTCCCCCCGCCTCGTCTGCCCGCAGCGTTCTTCACGAGCCGCTACGGCTACAAGATGTGCCTCCGCTTGTACCCCAACGGTGACGGCGCTGGCAAGGGCTCCCACCTCTCGCTCTTCTTCGTCCTCATGCGGGGCGACCACGACGCCATGCTGCGCTGGCCCTTCCGCCAGAAGGTGACGGCAGCAGCCGCAGCAGCAGCAGCAGCAGCAGCAGCAGCGTAGCAACCGTTGTCGTAGCAACCATCGTCGCCAGCATCATTGCCATAGCAACCATCACCGCCACCATCGTCGCCGCCATCGCTGCTATCACCACCGTCACCGCCACCGTCACCGCCACCGTCACCGCCGTCGCCGTCACCGCCATCACCACCGCCGTCACCACCATCGCCGTCACCACCGCCGTCACTGCCATCGCCACCACCGTCACCGCCATCACCACTGCCATCGCTACCACCGTCATCGCCACCACCGTCACCGCCGTCACCGCCACCGCCGTCACCGTCACCGTCATCACCGTCACCGCCATCACCGTCACCGTCACCACCATCGCCGTCACCGCCATCGCCACCACTGTCATCGCCGCCACCGTGACCGTGACCCTTCCACTCCCCCCGCGCCCTCCCCAGGTGACGCTGATGCTGCTGGACCAGGGCCCCCGTCGTGACCACGTCATCGACGCCTTCCGCCCGGACGCGACCACCTCCTCCTTCCAGCGCCCCACCGGAGACCTCAACGTGGCCAGCGGCTGCCCCCTTTTCTGCCCCCTCGGCCGCCTAGTTTCGTCGGAGCAGACCTACGTGCGGGACGACACCTTGTTCATCAAGTGCGTGGTGGACACGGCCGACCTGTGACCCCCCCCACCCACGGCGCCGGGCGGCGCAGCTCCCCCGAGGATTCGGGGAGCACTCGAGAAGCCACGGGCAGCAATGTGGCCCCCTCAGGGTGGAGGAGAAGAGGAGGCGGTGGTGGAAGAGGTGGAAAGGTGGTGGTGGAAGAGGTGGAAAGGTGGTGGAGGAGGAGGTGGTGGTGGTGGATGAAGTGGTGGAGGTGGATGAGGTGGATGAGGAGGAGGTGGTGGATGAGGAGGAGGTGGTGGAGGAGGAGGCAATGATGGAGGTGGAGGCAGTGGTGGAGGAGGTGGTGGATGAGGAGGTGGAGGAGGCTCTTCCGCAGTGGAGTGGTGCGAGGGGAGCGGCAGGGAGATGGTTGAGGTGGCCTGCGGTGAGGTGGGTGGGCGAGTGAATTTGTAGATGGGTGGATGGGTTATTGAGTGGGTGGATGGATGGCTTAGTGAGTGGGTAGATGGGTTAGTGAGTGGGTGGGTGGATGGGTTATTGAGTGGGTGGATGGATGGCTTAGTGAGTGGGTAGATGGGTTAGTGAGTGGGTGGGTGGATGGGTTATTGAGTGGGTGGATGGATGGCTTAGTGAGTGGGTAGATGGGTTAGTGAGTGGGTGGGTGGATGGGTTAGTGAGTGAGTGGGTGGATGGGTTAGTGAGTGGGTGGGTGGATGGGTTAGTGAGTGAGTGGGTGGATGGGTTAGTGAGTGGGTGGGTGGATGGGTTAGTGAGTGAGTGGGTGGATGGGTTAGTGAGTGGGTGGGTGGATGGGTTAGTGAGTGAGTGGGTGGATGGGTTAGTGAGTGGGTGGGTGGATGGGTTAGTGAGTGGGTGGGTGGGTTAGTGAGTGCGTGGGTGGATGGGTTAGTGAGTGAGTGGATGGGTTAGTGAGTGAGTGGGTGGATGGGTTAGTGAGTGAGTGGGTGGGTGGGTTAGTGAGTGAGTGGGTGGATGGGTTAGTGAGTGAGTGAGTGGGTGAGTGAGTGGGTGGGTGGATGGGTTAGTGAGTGAGTAAGTGGATAGGTTAGTGAGTGGGTGGGTGGATGGGTTAGTGAGTGAGTGGGTGGGTTAGTGAGTGAGTGGGTGGGTTAGTGAGTGAGTGGGTGGATGGGTTAGTGAGTGAGTGGGTGGATGGGTTAGTGAGTGAGTGGATGGGTTAGTGAGTGAGTGGGTGGATGGGTTAGTGAGTGAGTGGGTCGATGAGTGGGTGAGTGAGTGGGTGAGTGAATGGGTGGGTGGATGGGTTAGTGAGTGAGTGGGTGGGTGTGTTAGTGGGTGGGTGGGTTAGTGAGTGAGTGGGTGGATGGGTTAGTGAGTGAGTGGGTGGATGGGTTAGTGAGTGAGTGAGTGGGTGGGTTAGTGGGTGGGTGGGTGGGTTAGTGAGTGAGTGGGTGAGTGAGTGGGTAGGTGGGTTAGTGAGTGGGTGGGTTAGTGGGTGGGTAGGTGGGTTAGTGAGTGAGTGGGTGGGTTAGTGAGTTGATGTATGAATGGGTGGGTGAGTGTCCGAGTGGGTGGATGAGCGAGTGAGTGCGTTGAAGTGTCACGGTTGGTGCTTGTTGTGGTGGTGGTGGTTGTTGTGGTGGTGGTGGTTGTTGGAACGCAGTGGCGGGATGGGTAGGAGGGGGACGGCGTAGGAACTTCCCCTTCGCCCGCTTTGCAAAGGACAAAGCGTGGCTTGGGCAGGTCGCCTCGCGTCTCTCCGCGCTCTCACGGTGGGCGATGGCCGGAGCTGCAGGGCCAGCGAAGAGCCGTGGCGGCCAACGGGGAGGAAGGAAGGAAGAAGCAGCAGAGAGGATTTGCCGCCCCGAGGGGCCGCCCTTCGCGGAGTTGGAGGGGCGATTGAAGCGATCGGCACCGGCGCAGGAGCGCGAGGGATCGCCGCGTCGCGAGGTTCACGTGGGGCGCCGCCACGGTGATTATTGTGGGGTGCGTGGGTTTGATCCCTGACCAGGCGGCCCTGGTTAACCCTGCGTTGTCTATAAACTGTATAGTCCGACTGGCGTCACGGTCCACATATCTCTCACTCGCTCACTCACCGACTCGCCCACCGACTCGCCCGGTCACTCGGTCACTCGCTCACTCACCCACTCGCCCAGTCACTCGCTCACCCACTCGCTCACTCACCCATTCGCCCAGTCACTCGCTCACCCACTCGCTCACTCGCCGACTCGCCCGGTCACTCGCTCACCCACTCGCCCAGTCACTCGCTCACCCACTCGCTCACCCACCCACTCGCCCGGTCACTCGCTCACCCACTTGCTCACTCACCCACTCGCCCAGTCACTCGCTCACCCACTCGCTCACCCACCCACTCGCTCACTCACCCACTCGCCCGGTCACTCGCTCACCCACTCGCTCACTCACCCACTCGCCCGGTCACTTGCTCACCCACTCGCCCAGTCACTTGCTCACCCACTCGCTCACTCACCCACTCGCCCAGCCACTCGCTCACCCACTCGCTCACTCACCCACTCGCCCAGTCACTCGCTCACCCACTCGCTCACTCACCCACTCGCCCAGTCACTCGCTCACCCACTCGCTCACTCACCCACTCGCCCAGTCACTCGCTCACCCACTCGCCCAGTCACTCGCTCACCCACTCGCTCACTCACCGACTCGGCCAGTCACTCGCTCACCCACTCGCTCACTCACCGACTCGCCCAGTCACTCGCTCACCCACTCGCCCAGTCAGTCGCTCACTCACCCACTCGCCCGGTCACTCGCTCACCCACTCACTCACTCACCCACTCGCCCGGTCACTCGCTCACCCACTCGCCCAGTCACTCGCTCACCCACTCACTCACTCGCCCGGTCACTCGCTCACTCACCGACTCGCCGGTCACTCGCTCACCCACTCGCTCACTCACCGACTCGCTCAGTCACTCGCTCACCCACAACACTCGTCCAGTCACTCGCTCACCCACTCGCGCAGTCACTCGCTCACCCACTCGCTCACTCACCCACTCGCCCAGTCACTCGCTCACCCACTCGCCCAGTCACTTGCTCACCCACTCGCTCACTCACCCACTCGCCCAGTCACTCGCTCACCCACTCGCTCACTCAGTGACTCGCCCAGTCACTCGCTCACCCACTCGTTCACTCACCCACTCGCCCAGTCACTCGCTCACTCACCGACTCGCCCGGTCACTCGCTCACCCACTCGCTCACTCACCCACTCGCCCAGTCACTCGCTCACCCACTCGCTCACTCAGCGACTTACCCAGTCGCTTGCTCACTGACATGCTCGCTCGCTCACCCACTCGCTCACTCAGCGACTCACCTAGTCGCTCGCTCACTGACACGCTCACACGCTCACTCAGTCGCTCACGCGGCCACTCGCTCGCCCACTCACCTGCTCATTCACTCACCCACCCACTAATTCACAAATTCAATCTCTCACCCACCCACTCACCGGTGAGTTAAATGACAATTCTGATAGCCAACTACAGCGAATGAAATATACTGGCTTACATGGTGATACTAATACATCAGATTATCTTTATTTAATCTTAGGTAGTGTTACATTAACAACTTATAGGCCTCCCGTCACGGTAATATGGAAATTCCACACAGCCGACGGAGACGCGAGATTGTCTGAAGACTCCTGACCCCTCAAGTACGCAACGGGCAGACACGGGCTCTGTGAACTCGAAACACGATCGCATGCTCACTCAACTCGATTCTCACTCAACTCGATTCTCTCGCAACTCGATTCTCTCTCGCTCAACTTTCTCGGCTCTCTCTCCCGTCGGACGCTTTATTTATTTGTTTTGTGTATCCGTTGTTTACTCAATGTTTGTAAACAGCGGCGTTGACGACACGTGACGACAATATATCACCACCGCCACGTGCGGTGTGTGTCGTGTGTATTGCGTGGTGTGTGTATTGTGTGGTGTATGTATGTTGTGTGTGTGTTGTGTGTATGTTGCGTGTGTGTTGCGTTGTGTGTGTTGCGTTGTGTGTGTTGTGTGTTGCGTTGTGTGTGTTGTGTATGGTGTGTGTGTTGTGTATGGTGTTGTGTTGCGTGTGGTGTATGTGTGTTTTGAGTGTGTTGCGTGTATGTTGTGTGTGTTGTGTTGCGTGTGGTGTATGTGTGTTTTGTGTGTGTTTTGTGTGTATGTTTTGTGTATGGTGTGTTTGTTTCGTGTGTTGTGTGTGTGCTGTGTATGTTGTGTGTGTTGTGTATGTTGTGTGTGTTGCGTGTGCATTCGTTTAACGTCGCCATGACTATTGCTAAATGTTGTAAGCTAAAAGAGCCCCGTCAGCGTGTAAGCTGGGTTCGAGCCCTGGGTGTGTCTGTCTCTCACAGGGAGTTCACAATGGCCATGTCAGAGACACTGAGGCAGTCCACTAAGAACCTGGGTTCGATTCCTGGGTGTGTCTCTCACAGGGAGTTCACAATGGCCATGTCAGAGACTCTGAGGCAGTCTCACTAAGAACCTGGGTTCGATCCCTGGGTGTGTCTGTCTCTCACAGGGAGTTCACAATGGCCATGTCAGAGACTCTGAGGCAGTCCCACTAAGAACCTGGGTTCGAGCCCTGGGTCTGTCTCTCAGGGAGTTCACAATGGCCATGTCAGAGACACTGAGGCAGTCCACTAAGAACCTGGGTTCGATTCCTGGGTGTGTCTCTCACAGGGGGTTCACAATGGCCATGTCAGAGACACTGAGGCAGTCCACTAAGAACCTGGGTTCGATTCCTGGGTGTGTCTCTCACAGGGGGTTCACAGTGGGCCATGTCAGAGACACTGAGGCAGTCCACTAAGAACCTGGGTTCGAGCCCTGGGTGTGTCTCTCACAGGGAGTTCACAATGGCCATGTCAGAGACACTGAGGCAGTCCCACTAAGAACCTGGGTTCGAGCCCTGGGTGTGTCTCTCACAGGGGGTTCACAATGGCCATGACAGAGACACTGAGGCAGTCCACTAAGAACCTGGGTTCGATCCCTGGGTGTGTCTCTCAGGGAGTTCACAATGGCCATGTCAGAGACACTGAGGCAGTCCACTAAGAACCTGGGTTCGAGCCCTGTGTGTGTCTCTCAGGGGGTTCACAATGGCCATGTCAGGGACACTGAGGCAGTCCCACTAAGAACCTGGGTTCGAGCCCTGGGTGTGTCTCTCACAGGGGGTTCACAATGGACCATGTCAGGGACACTGAGGCAGTCCACTAA